CGTGGAAAATATTGAAAAAGTATAATAATAATAATATTATTATTATTATTATTATTATAAGTAGTAGTAGTAGTTGTTGTTGTAGTAGTTGTTGATGCAGTAGTAGTAGTAGTAGTAGTTGTTGTTCTTGTAATAATCATGAAACTTCTAGAACGCGATACGTAATGCTATAAGCCAAGAAGACTTTTTATGCTTTCAAATGATGATGATGATGATGATGATGACGACTGACTATAATGATGCTGGTTGTCCTGGTGATGATTTTAATGATGATGCTTTTAAATATACAAATGAAGAAAAACTTATCTTCGTACTATGAGTATTTCAATTTTGAAGCTAGTTTTTTTGCTGCTGTTGAGGTTAATGTTGTCGTTGTTGTTGTTGTTGTCTTTGTTGTTGCTGTCGTTGTTGTTGTTGATGTTGTTGTGGATGATCGTGATGACGTCATCGCCATAATCATCTGCAGCAACATCAACAACAAAGACAACATCATCAACAACAACGGCAACAACAACAACAGCAACAACAACAGCATCAACAACAACAGCAACAACAACAGCATCAGCAAACTCGCAGCATGTTTGGGAAAGTAAAAATTGAATTTAAAACTAATTCCTTTAGTTTGGAAAAAAAATATTCTTCTTCTTCTTCTTATTATTATTATTATTATTATTATCCATCTTATGTTTCTTCTTATTGCTTTTATTATTTAAATTACCTTTTAAAACGTTTTTTGGTTTGTCTTGAAAACATTTTTATAGTATACTATGTTGATGCAAATGTTGATGTTGTTGTTGAAGTTGTTGTTGTTGTTAATGTTGTTGTTGATGTTGTTGTTGTTCTAAATGTATTTGAAATCATCGTTAATTATTTTAGTAGCCATTTGTCACCATTTGAATTGACAGATACACCGGGCGGTCTTAATGTTGTGTTGTTGTTGTTGATATGGTTGTTGATGATGATTTTGTTGTTGATGATGTTGTTGCTGTTGATGATGTTGTTGTTGTTGTTTTTAATTGTATTCTAACGTTTCACATCATCATCAACAACAACAACAACATCAACAACAACATCAACAACATCAACAACAACAACAGAAATGAAACCACCACAGCAGCAACAACAGCCCAGCAATTGTTTCCAAACGATTTTCAGCAGTCAGTTCAAACACGGAACTATCATATATCCATTTGAAAGATCGTTATCGGCACCCACACTATCATCATCATCATCACCATCATCATCATCATCGTCTGCATCATCGTTACCAAGATCACGGTCATCATCATCATCATCGCGGTCATCATCATCATCACCTTCGTCAACCATAGACTCATCCATGTTATCAACATCTCCAGACCCGTCATCATCATCATCATCATCATCACCGCGACATCTTAATAATCATCATCATAATTCCCATCATCATCATCATAACTTTACTTGCGGTTTTGACCTGCGCGGAAAATCGGATGAGAGGATTGTTTTGAAGTTCATAAGGCTGACGCTGTCCAATGATGCCAATGTTAAGATGTTAGTTGGATGGTTGGTTGATTGGTTGGTTGGTTGGTTGGTTGGTTGGTTGATTGGTCGGTCGGTCGGTTGGTTGGTTGGTTGGTCGGTCGGTTGGATGGTTGGTTGGAGGGTTGGTTGACTTTTTGACTGATTAGTTGGTTAATTTGCCAGTTGGACAGTTGATCAACACAGAAGCAGCAGCAACAACAACAGCAACAACATCTTATCTCAGTTTTATTTGTCCGCACCAGCCAATAAATACTTGTAATCATCGCCGTGTTAAAAGGTGGCGAAACATTCAACCGGAAAGTTCAAAAGGTCAACCAGGCAACCAGCCAAGCAGTCAAATAATCGATCAATAAATGTTTATTATTCATTCTATATATAGATGATTCAAAAATTCGGTTCATTTGTTTGTCTGTTCAGTTATTTATTCGTTTTCATTCATTAATTAGTTAATTAATTAGTTAATTCATTCATTCATTCATTCATTCATTCATCAAATCTTTCATTCGTTTATCCATCTATCGGTCCAAATAAAAATTTAATTAAAATAATTTATTAATTTATTTTTTTTGCTTGCGAACTCTCAAGGTGGTGACGTCTGAAACTCTGGCATGCGCGTGTGTCTGTTTGGATGAATGAATGAATGAATGAACGAATGAATGAATGAACCAATGAATGAATGAATGAATAAACAAATGAATGAACGAATGAATGAATGAACGAATGAATGAATGAATAAATAAACAAATGAATGAACGAATGAATGAATGAGAAAAATGTATGTTTGTCTGTGTTTATGTGTTTATTACATCAATGGAAAAAAAAATCAATAGACTTTAAAAACTCCTAAATAACACATAAGTATTAAATTAATACTAATTAGAATATTCATAACGCCATCATCATCTTCATCAGCAGCACCATCACTATCATCATCAACAACATAGTCAACAACAACAACAACAACAGCAACAACATACAAAAATATTCTTATTTTCATATTCATTTGGCTGCATGGAACCTAAATTCATGGCCAATGAATATTCAGTAGATTGATAATCCCTCCATCTGTTTCTACTACTCCTCTCTCTCTTTCTCTCTCTCTCTCTCTCTTACTCTCTCTTTCTCTCTTTTTCTCTCTCTCTCTCTCTTTCACTATTGATTTGTTCTTTCTCTCTTTTCATTCCTTCAATTTCTTGTCTTTCTTTCTTTCTTCTCCTATTAAATAAAGGTCCCGAAAGGTCATGACGTTGAATGGATGAACACACACACACACGTGCACACACACAGACGTACACACACTCGCACACACACACACGCACGCAAACATACAAACAAACAAACAAACATAGGAGATACAAAATTCAATTATCAAAGTCATTGTTCCCATATAAATATAGCGGTCTGAAATAATTGAGTGTTGTTGGTTCTGGTATCGTCATCATCAACGTCGTCTTCTTCATCATCATCTTCATCATCATTATCACCACCACCATCATCATCATCACTATCATCATCATCACCGTCTTTTGAATTTTGCTTCGCTTTCACACACGTTCCACTATTTGGCGCAGTTTGAATGAAAATTTTATTTTCTAAGCTGTTTGATGTTAAGGTCAAAACGTCAGAGAGAGAGAGAGAGAGAGAGAGAGAGAGAGAGAGAGAGAGAGAGAGAGAGAGAGAAAGAGAGAGAGAGAGAGAGAGAAAGAGAGAGAGAGAGAGAGAGAAAGAGAGAGAGAGAGAGAGAGAAAGAGAGAGAGAGAGAGAGAGAGAGAGAAAGAGAGAGAGAGAGAGAGAGAGAGGATAACAATAATAACAATGATAACAACATTAATAATAATGATAATGATGATAATGATAATAGCAACGATGATGATGATGATGATGTTTGTGATGACCAATCGGCAGCATTCTCCACTTACACGCAGACATTTCTTTCACGCACTGATACAAAAAAGTGGCAGAAATATAATAATTACAACAACAACAACATCATCATCATTATCGTCATCATCATCATCATCAATCTCATCATCATCAACATGTTCATCATTATCATCATCACTTACAACATCATTATTATTTTCAGCTTAACATTAAGTAAGCAGCAAAAACAGCAGCTGCACTAGTAGTAGCAGTAGTAGTAGTAGTAGTAGTAGCAGCAGCAGTAGTAGTAGTAGTAGTAGTAGTAGTGGTAGTAGTAGTAGTATTAGTAATGGAATTTGCCTTGTATTAAAATAGAAATTCTAAATTTTTCTTTATTTAAAATTTTTCCTTGCCTCTAGCAAAATAACTATTCGGAGTTCTTTCTCAACGAAGGAAACATCAATATCATCATCATCACCATCGTCGTCATCATCATCATCATCATCGTCAACATCATCATCATCGTCATCATCGTCATCATCATCATCGTCTTTGTTTTTAGAACCGTCTACACAGTTGTCATCAGCTGCATCTTCATCGTCTCCATCATCATTCCTATCATCATCATCATCATCATTGTCGTCATCGTCTTCGTCGTCCTCATTATCATCATCAGCGTTGAAATTGGCATCATCACCATCATCATCGTCGTCGTCGTTTTTATCGTCCAAGAATAATAATATTAAGAATGTAAACAGAGTAAATTTCAACAACATCAACAACAAAAGCGGAAGTCGTACCGGAAACAGATCGGGCGACTCATTTCCGGTCGGCAGCATTCACGACTACGCCATCTTGAAAATAATACGCAACGACCGACATCAAAAACATCAGCAGCAGCAACAGCAGCTGCCACATCAACAACATCAGCAGCAAATGATGAGCCCCGGAAATCACGTGATAGTTGTCATGTTGACGCAGATGCTCGAACCGGAAGTTGACGCTGACGGTGGTAATGATGATGATGATGTTGACGGCGGTGGAGAAGAAGAAGAAGAGGAGGAAAATGATGATGATGGTGATGGACAGACGGAAAAAGGAGTGATGAAACGAAGGGAGAAAAAGAAGAAGGAGGAAAAAACATACATACATTTCGAACTGGAATATTCCTTTGTCACTGGTATGTTTGTCATGATAATAATGATGATGATGATGATGGTAGTGATGAAGACGATAATGATTATGATGATAGTGATGAAGACGATGATGACGACGACGACGATGATGATGATGCCGAAAAAAAATGTGAAGGACAATTTCTCTAGAAAAAAAAATCAGAAATATAAAATGCTGCTATTGATATGATTTCTGCTTGGTCTATGTTTTTGTGTAGTCTATGTTGTTTATTCTTTGCTATGTTGTTGGTTCTTTGTTATTTTTTGTCTTTGTTTATTTTTAAATCTTTTTTGTCTCCTTTCTCTCACTCTTTTCTTTCACTGACAAATGGCGTCTTTGAAAATTCTTGAGAATGGAAAGCTTTCTAATTTTCTAAACTTCGAAAATTTTTTTTTTCGTGTTTTTGAAAAATTAGAAAAACGTAAGCAACAACAACAACAACAACAACAACAACAAGTATTGTCTTGCATAACTTTTTTCAACATTTTTTTAGCTAATACTAACGCTGCTACTACTAACTACTACTACTACAACTACAACAAAGACAACTTCTGCAGCGGCCGCTGCTACTTCTACTACTACTACTACTACTACATTCCTACTACTACCAAAATAAAATGTACGTCTATCAGATAAGAACAGACCAGCATGAATGACTGAGTTTAGTTATTTCTGACCCGTCATATCAGTAAACTACACACACACACATAAACGCGCGCACACACACACATAAATATATATATATATATACACGCGCGCACAAACAAACATACACACACATACATACACACACACATGTATACATACAAGCATAAACACACACACATACATACACATAACGACAAACAAACTTATTACATAATTTTCTATTTCATTTGCCATCCTGTTAAACTGTCGAAATAAATAAATGACCTAAAGAGAGAACGAACGAACGAAAGAACGAACAAATGAATGAATGAATGAATGAATGAATGAATGAATGAATGAATGAATGAATGAATGAATGAATGAATGAATGAATGAATGAATGAATGAATGAATGAATGAATGAATGAATGAATGAATGAATGAATGAATGAATGAATGAATGAATGAATGAATGAATGAATAAATGAATGAATGAATGAATGAATGAATGAATGAATGAATGAATGAATGAATGAATGAATGAATGAATGAATGAATGAATGAATGAATGAATGAATGAATGAATGAATGAATGAATGAATGAATGAATGAATGAATGAATGAATGAATGAATGAATGAATGAATGAATGAATGAATGAATGAATGAATGAATGAATAAATGAATGAATGAATTAAAGATCAATAAAATGAGACCAGAAGAGATTTTGAATAGAATTTTGCATCAAGCAAGAAAAAGTAAAATATGTACCCCATCCTCTTCTTTTTCTATTTCATCATCATTATCATCATCATCATCTTATTCATTATCATCATCACAATCATCACCACCACCATCACCGTCATGTTTGCTATGTAACAATGTACACATGCTCTCTGCAAGCAATTTATCTTAATGCTGTCTTGTTGGTTGATTGGTTGGTTTGTTGATTGGTTGGTTGATAGGTTTGTTTGACTGGTTGATTGGTTGGTTTGTTGATTGGTTGGCTGGTTGGTTGATTGGTTGGCTGGTTGACTAGCTATCTGGCCAGTTGATTGACTGGTCTGTAAGCTGTTTGTTGGTCGATGGATTTGATTGACAGACCGTTGATTGGTTGATCTAACGATTTATTTTATATCGCCAATTATTAGATTGGTTGGCTAATTGATTAGTCGGTTGGCTAGTTAGTTCGACTGTTCAACTTCTCGTCGGTAAGTGGTTGGGTGAACTTAAAGACAAAAAAATATGTTTCAATTCAGATACATTTTATGATTGAAAAAAATACAAAGGTAACAACAATCAAAATAAAAATAATAATAAACAAATAATAAGAATAATTTTTCTAGCGTTTTTCTTCGTTTGTCAGCGATTCTTTATTTTATATCGCCTAGGTCGATGCAATACCTTAAAAAAACAAAAAAATAGCTTTTCTATGCGTGTATGAATGTATATATGTACGTTTGTATGTATGTATGTATATATGTATGTATGTATGTATGTATGTATGTATGTATGTATGTATGTATGTATGTATGTATGTATGTATGTATGTATGTATGTATGTATGTATGTATGTATGTATGTATTTATGTATGTATGTATGTATGTTTGTATGTTTGTTTGTTTATATGTTTGAAGTTTTTCAAGTTGCAGGTGTTAGTGTAAATTTTTAATCTCAACCGCAGACATCCAAGCCATAAGAGAAAATTGAGATGAGAAAACAAAAATAAACAAAGAAAAAAATACAAAATTTAGAAAAAATACAAACAAAGAAAACTGAATAAATTAAAAACAAACATAGAAAACTGAATAAATTAAAAGCAAACAAAGAACCACAAAACCCAATCCAGACATTGTACCAAAAAATTAAAAAAAACTCTCTGACGGCGATGAATTCAAAGTCAGACTAATACGTGACTAAAAAAACTCAATATAAATCAACAACAACAACAACATCAACAACAACAACAACATCAACACAACAACAACAACATCAACAACAGCATCAACCTCGTCTTAAAAATTTTTCAACTTTTAAATGCTTAATGTGTCGTCCGTCGTTATAGGTTAACCTTATCGAATTATTATTACTATTGTTGCTGGTTTGTTATTATAATTTTATTATTATCATTATATTATTATTATTATTAAATTATTATAATTTTATTATTATCATTATGTTATTATTATTGTATTATTATCATTATATTATCATCATCATCATCAGATTTTGGAATCAAAGCCGGCCGGCAAGTCAGGCAAAATGGTAAAATATTTTTTATCGAGTTGCTCGTTCATTTGTCAATTTATTATTCACCCATTCATTCGCTCATTCATTTATTTTTTTCATTCATTCGTTCATTCATTCATTCTTTATAATTCAGTATAATTCAACAATAGCTGCTGAATGGAGTGAATGGATTAAGAATGATTAAATAAACGAACGAACGAATTAGCGTTTGATTGTTAAATCCCTTCAAGGTTGCTACTTCAACTTCGACTCGAGACAGAAAACATCCGGAACGTTTCACAGTCCCAACTATCCCAACAGCTATCCCAAATACACGGACTGCTATTTCATATTTGCAAGAGCTCCGAACGAAATCCTGAAGTTCAAATTTTCAGAACTCCATATTGACGGAACGCTAAAGTTGGTCTCCTAGTTGTTTGTGTAATGTGAACACACTTAACGATCATACAACTAGTTCTTACGATCTTCAACTTTGTGCAGTGTGACACTTATACATGGTATTCCTATGCCATCTTAGGTGTAAAAAATCCAAAAACTAAACAAAAACGTGGAACATGCTGTGATTTTCAACAATAATTGCATTTTCTGACAGTCTTAATCCTATATATATATATATATATATGTGTGTGTGTGTGTGTGTGTGTGTGTGTGTGGATTATCAATAGCAGCACGGCCAACGATTACAAATAAAACACGTAAAATAAGAATAAGCAGTTTTAGAAATTTCCAACAAAATTTATTTTCAGCTGCGACAATGACGTCAGTGACTATTTGGAAATTTTCGACCAATCAAGTCAGAGGAAGCACCGCATATGTAACCATCAACTCGAGAAGGATAAACAAATAACAATAAGATCCACAAACAACAACAACCACAACAACAAAAGCATTCACGTCAACAACTTGATGAACAACAACTTGAAACATTCACCGTCAAGTGATGATGACAACAACATAAATGACGTCATCATAACATTCCATTCCAATCATGCCTACGAAGCTAAAGGCTTCAACGCCGAGTATCATTACGAGAAATCGGCTTCAGCCGGAAGTAAGCTGACAGTAATTTGATTGGTTGATTAATTTTTTAACCCTCGCGTTATAAATCAGTACTTTTTGTTGGTTGACTAATGCACACTAGCACACACACACACACGCACAGATATCCAAAGAAGCATCAAAGGCTCCAGCTTATTTGTCAGTTATGTTGTCATGGCCCTAGTCTTCACCCTCCTAATCAACAAATGACCATATCTCATATATATATATATATATGTATACAATATATACAATTTATATATAATATATATAACAGTATGTGTGTACATCATACTTTTGTATCATGTACATATTTCTAAAATATACATACACATGCATACAAACAGACACACACACAAACAAACAAACATACCTACATACATACATCGCCAATACTAGTTTGTAACGGTATTTTGCCTATTGAATTGATTGATTTCCTATTGATTGATTAATTGATTGATTTCATATTGATTGATTAATTGATTGATTTCATATTGATTAATTGATTGAATAAAGAATAATTTATAGCGGTATTTCGTCCGATGTGAATAAAGAACAGTTTATAACGGAATTTTACAGCCATCAACAACCATCAGCAAAGCCATCAAGCACTTATCTCTATTTCAAAAATTATTATCAATTCAATAATTATTATCATTATTATTATCGCTATCATCATCGTCGTCGTCATCAGTGTTTTTTCGGCTTCTTCTTAACTGGTTCGGACAAGGCATTATTATTATTATTATTATTATTATTATTATTATTATTATTATTATCACTACTACTACTACTACTACTACTACTACTACTACTACTACTACTACTATTAGTATTTAGTTTATACTTATTTTTATTCTTCTTATTCTTCTTTACTTTATTATTATTATTATCATTATTATTATTACAATCAGTAGTAGAAGCAGTAGTAGTAGCAGCCGCTGCAGCAAAAGTTTTACTAGTATAATCTTCCTCGCTTATAGTATTTAGTTTATACTTATTTTTATTCTTCTTACTCTTCTTTTTTTTCTTATTATCATTATTATTATCATTATTATTATTACTACTACTACTACTACTACTGCTACTACTACTTGCACCAGCTTCTTCAGTAAGTTTACGTTTTTCACACCTCTTAATCATTTTCATATCACCAAGACTAACATTATTATTGTTATTATTATCGGTAGTAGTAGCAGTAGCTACAGTAGCCACAGTAGTAGTAGCAGTAGCTACAGTAGTAGTAGTAGTAGCATTTTTAGCATCAGTAGTAGTAGCAGAAGCGGCAGCAGTGGCATCTATAGTAGTACTTTTACGCTTCTTACTTCTCTTATCGTTAGCCGTCAAGATATTTTCATTGCTATTATCATTCTTTTTATTCTTTTTCTCTTTAACTTTACGAACGTTAATGACAATCCCATCTCTACTATCATCATCATCACAGTTATTATTATTATTACTATTTATACCATTAGCATCATCATCATCATCATCTTTTTCTTCTATGTGACCTTTGAACTCTAGACAAGACCTTGACCTATCTAATTTTGACGCCATTTTCTGGGCGAAATAGTCTGCAATGCTAGAGGCCCTCGTGATCGTGTGCACCCCGAATTCGAAATCCCCGGCTCCTGATTGGTCGGCTATTTTTGTCGATGGTGACGTCACTTTTGATGATACTGCAGCTGCTGCTGATGACGTGGTCGACGTCTTTAAGAATAAAGATTGAGAAAGATAACAAATTTTTAACTTTAATCCCATTTATCATCATCACAATGATAAACACATTATTATCGATATAAAATCTACTAAAATATACTAAAATTTTAAAACCTCAATGCCTAATTTCCCTAATTCATTTGTACTGGCCGACTTGATGATGTAACCATTCGAGTCTCGTCTGCCGAAAATACAGTCTAGATCTTTTTGCTCCTTTGTTGCGAGATTTTTACTTCTTACGAATTTTTGGTAACTGTTATAAAGATAGATTAAGATGGATTAATTGGTTGATCGTTCGGTTGGTTGATTGATTGACTGATTGATTGATAGATACATAGATAGATAGATAAATTGAATGATTGATCAATAGGTTTAATGATTGGTTGGCTGGTTGGTTGAATGAATAATGTATTTATAAAATTTTGAGAACCGTTTTCAAAATTTTTTAATGACGAAATGTTTAATTGTTTGTTATGCCTTGATTGACCGATTGATTGACTGATTGATTGATTGACCGATTGATTGACTGATTGATTGATTGACCGATTGATTGACTGACTGAATAATGAATAGATGGAGGAATAAATGCAATTTTTAAATTTTGAAATGAATGGTCGTAAACTGAATTGAATATTAATGGTGAATTTCGTAAAAAATATTGATGACACAACAACAACAACAACAACAACCACCACCACAACCACAACAACAATAAAAATAATAATAATTCAATACTGCAGTCTGCTAGATGATCTTTTAGACTTTTCTTCCAAATCAACCAAGCTCTGTTTATTATTACTATTATTATTATTGGTATCATCATCATCATCATCAGCAGCAGCAGCATTGTTGTTGTTATTATTATTATTTCCTAACTCCCCACCGTGTTCCGAACCTAGTTAGCGTAAACGAAAAAAAAATGGAAAAAATACATTACTCAATTATTTAAATTATTCAATCTTAAGTTACACACAAATGCACGCACACACGCGCACACACACGCACGCGCAAACACACACGTATATATATATATATATATATATACACACACACGCACAACAATAATAATTATGGTAAAGTAGGCCAGTGCAACCTAAATTGGCTAGTATGGAAGTGAAATCATCTTGGTGAGCTATCCAGTTATTGGCTGATTGGTGACTGCAACCAACACCTAAGTCATAAAATAATAAAAATTATTATTTAAATATGATAATAAGCAATTAATAATCCCCGCCATAATATTAATTGATCTTATACTTGATTCTAACTATAAATAAATGTAAAAATATTTACCAAAATTTATAAACTATTTACTTCTTCGTAGTATAAATTCACTTTTAAAAAACCTTTCTTGTCTATTTTCAAGGAGACTTTCACGAAATCGACATTTCCACTTTCCTTGGCCCCCAGACCTTTTCCTTTCGACCAGCCCATCTTCTCCATCAGCTTCTGACCAAATTTCGATTCATCTTGTAACGAACAAAAATAAAAAAAACATTAATACCACATATTATTTATATAATGTATATCACTATATTTAATATTATATAGAATAGACTATAATACTGAATTGGCCAGATACGGCCGGATTTGAAAAAAAAGCCGGATATTGGCCGGCTTTTACTTTTTAAATTAGGGAATTTTATAATAAGGAAATTTCATAGTTAGGGAATTAAATTAATAAATTAGCCAACCTTTGGCCCATGAAAGACCCTGGGGGTTGATCGACAGTTTCTGTTTAACTTTTCTTTCAGCCAGCATGGACATTTTGTGAAAATATATTTTATTATCTATTAATTCAAAATTTAATTAATTTAAAACTTCTAAATAAATTTTTAAATAAAAAAGAGGAAATTCATAAAAAAAACACGTTGACGAGCGATATTAAAGGCGCTGATTTCCATAGAAGTGGAAGAGCACCCAGCATTTATTGTCTATTTAGCCTGTTTGTCAGATGTTTTAATCTCGATTAACTTTTAGTATTAAGTTCACTACAATTTCAATTTAATTTACTTATTTAGATTAATTTTTTATTAAATTAGTTAAAAGATAAAAATGGCAAATTTCGACGATGGTTTTGTTAAAGTTTCATCAAAAAAGAAAAAAAGGTTGGGCCAGAAAAAACTTAAATTACGACAATAATGTGAAAGATTTGTGCCATAAGCTGAACAATTCACATTTTTTAAATAATATTTGTGAAAATCATTATCGTCGAAAACGTTATTTTGATGGCCGAACTGACGATTCCAACGTGAGTCCGGATCATTACGCAGACATCATCACAGAAATATTGAAAATTAGGTAGGTAACAAATGTTATGGATTTAAAAAAAATTTAATAGATTAACATTAAATTTTAAAAATAACGTTATTCATCATTAAATGATTAAATCTTAAATGTTATTGTTATGGAATAGACTGATTAGAGACTAGAGTAGAATTTAAACTCATAGTAAAAAACTATCTTCTATATTAGTTTGAAATACTAATTCCTAACTTTTTCAGAGAAAACTTAAGTTCCAGCCATTTCTTCAAAAGTATAATAAACACACTAACAAAGATTGAACCCCACTTAGGAAAAATTAGTGAAATAGTATCATATGGACTGGGGCATGTCTCGACATGCAAGATATCCATACATCAATTGGCCCTGCTGTTGTGTTTGACTGATCTTTTCCAGGTTAACACTTTTTTATTTTATGATATGATCAATTAATCAGCCAATTCAATCAAACACTCAATCAAACAATCAATCAGTTGGATGGTGATTAATTAAGGTAATTAATTTTAACCTTATTTTCTATTATTTTATCATTTTATTCTATTATAATGATGGTTCATGTTTGATTAGATAAAGCAGTGTTCACATTATGATTATATAGATTCCAAAGCCAAGCTGCCATATTTACGATCCTTCCTTCTCTGCCTGTGATCTCGACGTCTTGAAATATTTCAACTTCAGCATTATTCAACAGAATGAGGTTTCTTTTCATTTTTATTTCTTATATTTTACACACACACATACACACATACGTACATACAAACAAACAAATGCACACACACGCACAAACAAACAGACATATACACACATACACATATCTGCCCAACTACACACGCGCGCGCGCACACACACACACGCGCGCGAACATACACACACTTATACAATACATCAAATATACAAACCAATATACACCCAGGAATGCAAAAGAACAGTCACACGCCCAACACTTTTTTATATGCCCCATTGTGGTAGGCCAATGTATAATAATGTGCTGTCGAGTAACTGGGATAAAGACAGATTAGGGCATGTTTGTATATTAGGAAATAGTTTTCTATCTATTATGAATAAGTAAGTTTGCATATAGGTGTGTATGTTTGTTTGAATGTATGTATGTTTATATCTATGTATGTTTGCATGTATGTATGTTTGTATGCATGTTTGTATGTATCTATGTATATGTATGTATGTTTATTTATTTCTTTTTCAGCACGTTACAATCTGACCTGGAGACATTTTATCCAGGCATAAAAAAGGTATTTAATATAGTTATTATTCGTAATTATTATCGCAGTTATTAAAATTAATACAATTATAATTTATATTATCACCTATCTATCTCAGAACACACACGCACACGCGCGCTCACACACAGTTCCATTACACCATCTAGCATCTAGTAATAATTATTACAATTAGTTGAATATGAGTTTCATTCCAAAGAAGGCAATTTATAGAGTTATGCTGGTTATTGCACTTTTCAACCTATCAAGTGCTATGAACACACACACACACTCATACAGACACACACACACAAAGTGAGCACATATAACACAATATATATATCATATTTTCATAAGTGTTTAATTTTGTAATTTTCCTTCCTAGATTCTTCCATATACCGAAGAGCAAAGAATTGATAGCAACACGTACGCACATACAGACGTGTTTAACGATACATCCATACACACGTTCAAAAAGAACAATAATAATAATTGCATTAATAATAATAAAAATAATAATAATGATACTACTTCAAATACTATTAATTGTAATAAAATAACTAACGCTACTAAATATAATTGTAATAATAATAATGGTAATTGTAGTAGTAATGGCAATAGTAGTAGTTGTGGTAGTAGTGGCAATTGTAACGATGACGATGATGATTTTTGGACTAAACCAGATGACGTTGTATATGATTGGGATGAAGAGATTGTCATCAAATAATTATATACCTATATTTATATTTTTTTGGTTTCTAGTTCATTTATATTTTTAAATTATTTGGTTTTGAGTTCATTCATATTTTTTAAACATTTATAACAGTAATTATGATTGTTGCTATTATTATTGTTGTTGTTATTATTATTATCGATATGATTTAAATATAAGAGTAAATAAATGCGTGGCTAGTTTGGAATGAAATGTTAGTTTTATATATTTAGTTATTATAGCCCCATTGGAAACGTTCATTTACTTTTTATGATTCGACCAATGATTAGATTAGTAGCATTTTCTCTCTCTCTCTCTTTTTCTCTCTCTCTCTATATATAACTATTTGTATTATTATTTTATTATTATATTATTGTTTAAACCCACAGTACAAAGATGCTCCGTTGGCCAAGTTATTATCTTCAAAACTATTTGTGGACTGAAATAAATATTATGATTTTTATTATTAAATTATGATTATTATTATTATCATTCTTTTTATTATTAATAATTATTATTTATAAATTTTTTATAATAATTATGAAAGTTTAATGCCTTGATATTCAGGCAGGCAGGCTCCTAAGCATTAAAGTAATAAGCTCTCTTGGTGAATCGCCTTCGTGAATCCTTCCCTTGAATTCTTGTGATCGTTATCTTATCCTGGATAATGATCGCGAAGGTGATGATGATGATTGTGGTTTTTCTGATGATGATCATGATTGTCGGAATGATTTTGATGAAGGTAGCTATAGCAAAGCTGCCAACCAATCGAGCCAAATCAATCAAACTAACCAACCAACCAATTTCTTGATGACTAGATCGACTAGTTCTTTGGTAGCATCTTCTGGGTCCTCGTCACTAATCTGCCTAACTACGGACTTCTTCAGTAAGGTGTATACCTCATCTTTACTAATGTAACCGTCGTTGTTGAGATCGTAAAGATCGAAACAGACTGATTTTTGTAATTTTAAAGTCAAATATAACCATTGTAATGATTTGATTGTAATCAATACAGACATCATGCTGATGTACATGCATCATTGATAAGTGGCTGATAAAATATGACGTCACAATTAAGTATTATAATATTAAAGTTAGAACTAATTATAATTAATTAACATGAAATGTGTTCGTCGGTTGAACCGCGGATGAATATCGAAAGCCCTCTCAGCCAGCTATCAACCGCCACGTAGCCCTCGTTGTTTTTATCGAACGCTTTGAAAACTGAGAAAAAAATTATGATCATAATTATTATAATATTAATAATTATATTTATTAATATGGTTACTAACTATAAGAAAAATGCAGACTAGAAAGAGAATACTCTATAAACTGCTTACTTAAACATCTGTAACGTTTAAACTAAAACAAAATAATAAAAATTGGCGAAAACAATAATAATAACTATAATTATGATTATAATTAATAATAGTTTCTATAATTGCCAACTTCTGTCCATAATAAGATCATCTGTCAGGTTGAAATGGCTGTACAGGAATTCTCTAAATTTCATTTTGTCTAATTTTGTCCTGGCCGATAAAGACTTGTGCAGGTTGACAAGATTCTCGATCTCTACCTTATTAACTATAATTAAATAATAAAATTAATTGATTTATTATTCATAATTTAACTAACAATAATAATAATAATAAAGCTTAAAGTAGACTAGCATCTGTGTAAGAACCACTACGAAATATATGTCCTAGTATCCTAGCTCTCCAAACCTGTAAACAATACTCAGTCATTCACATTTCACAACTTAGACTTAGAACGGGCTATATTTAATTATTTAATCACAAATTAATAATAAAAACAATATAAATAATAATTATTACAATTAATTATTAATAAAATAAATAAATATAAATAAACTTACAATGCGTCTTTTTAGCCAATTCATCAATTGTACTTTTGGTTGACTTATGCTTCAACACCGAGATCATAATTATCATTAAAGAAATTATTAAAGAAATAATAATATTTGTTATTATTAAAAATATTATTACAAAATTCGCTTAAATAAACAAATAAAAAAATTATAAGAATTATTAATGAACACGGAATAATTTACAGATTAAAGAAAAAATTGTTCATCAAAATACACAGTATAGTACAATAGGTTTCAAATTTGCTAAGTAATCCTTGTCTTTTGTATGTATGTGTGTGTATGTATGTGTGCGTGTGTATGTATGTACGTATGTGTGAGTGTATGTATGTGTGTGTATGTATATATGTTTCTAATCTATTACCATAGAAACAGCCAAACATAGTAAAAACAGTCAAAAAAACTCCAAAAAATACATAGATTCATTAATATTATACATATATATATAAATATATGAATCATTTTAAATGTTTATTTAAATAGTTTTATTTATTAATTTTTAAAACACCTCAAAATAGAAAACACAAAGACGTCGTAACATGATGAGAATGAACCATTGTAATAATAACAATAATAATAATAATGACAAAAATAATAAAAATTAATAATAATAATTATTATTATTTTGAAATAGTCATATATATATATATACACATACAGAGCAGCGTGATCACAATTTTGTCATTAAATTTAGACAAACAAACTGTAATTAATTATATAATAATAATAATAAATATATTACAAATAATAAAAGATGAAAGATAAATGAAAACATAAATCCACAAAAATGACTGAGTATAGATGTAAAAGTCATGATCAAACACATTTAGCGTTGAAAAATTATTTATAAAATTGATAACGTTAACAATCGAATTTCGTCAATATACAAATCAAATTTCAGTAAATCACCAACTAGCCAATAAAATTTCACAAATTAATCACATATCCAATCAAATTCCACTAACTAACCGATCAAATCTCAGCAACCAACAGGCCAGATTTCATCATTAATCAACCACTTACCAATCGAACCTTATCAACGAATCTGTTAAACAATCAAATTTCACCAATCAGCCGGTCAAAATTCACCAAGCAACTAATTAACCAATGGAATTTCACCAACTAACCAATCAAATCTTAACAATCGATCTCTTTCTGTGGAATTTTGAAGCCATTAAATGCGAACCTAACATTATTCCTGGCCTGGAGGTTGCAGAAATACTTCTGCACTGCAGACTTCAACTGATTAGAAACGATAAACTCTTTCACAGGCAGGTCATGCAACAAAGATTGTTTGCGTTTAAAGTTCAAAATAGCTTGAACTTTAACCCCTGTGATCTGCGACCCTAGGCGTTGCATCTTCTTGGGTTTTTCCGACGATTTCGCGTCAGTTTCGTTTTTGTATACGACATCGTCGTCGTCGTCGTCCGAACTTGGCGGCGATGAGGATGATGAAGATGGCGAGGATGTTTTTTTAGTGAATGATGACGAGAGAGATAGTGAGGAAATTTTTGTGAGCGGCGGATAAAACGGAAGTGGTTTTTCAGCTTCCGTTGTTGTTGGATCGGAATCTTTACGTTTGTCTTCTTCCTCCTCGACCGCCATTTTACCGTTGACGTCATCTTTCACGTGATCAGTCCTGCCATCTTTTTTCAGATTTTTATTTTCATCATCGTCGTCGTCATCGTTGAAAATCACATCATCGTATGCATAGTCATCTTCGACTTTGTTGCGGTCAACATCGGCATCCGCATCAACTTCCTCCCTGCCTCCATCATTCTCATCATCGTTAGTCTTCTTACCAAGTGGCAACCTATTCCTCACAGCAGTAGCATCCATTGCATCATCATCATCATCATCATCCTTCTTCTTCTTAACTAGTCTATTATCATTATTTTTCTTCATTTTCTTATCAATATGACGAGCGATATCACGTGATTCGTCGTCGTTGTCAGTCGACGAATCAGAGAGCTCCAAATCTCGGAGTAGGATAGATTGAGCGTATTGACTGGTTGATTTGAATGCTTCCTCGTCATCGTCGTCGTCGTCATCAAATAATAAAACCTCGTTAGATTTAGTATCTTTCACATTTTGTGGCACCACTTCCGTTTCTTCTTTTCCAAAATTTTCCAGTTTGGTTTTGTTATCTTTTTTAATGGGTGACCTGGAACGACGGCGTAGATTAGGACGACGATCACGTGAACCGCCAGCGTCATCATCATCATCATCATCATTCGCCACATCACCATTGACGTCATCATCGGCATCGTTCGGCTCTTTGATGGAGAAGAGAACGTCGGAATCGATTGATTGGTCGTTGTTTGAGTCGAGGGCAGGCGAGGATGATGACCTAGATGGGCACATGCTTCTAATTCTATTCTCCCCAGGTTTTCTGCCTCTGCCTGGTTTAACTGGTAACTTTTTGTTAGAGTCAGCATCTTGTGCAACTTTCCCAAATCTTCTCGTGTATTTCCTTTTATTTCTAACTGAAGTCAATTCAGTACTCGAAGTATTAGCAACAGTATTAGAAACACTAGTAGTAAAAAAAGTAGAAGTAGCAGCAGCAGCAGTAGTAGTAGTAGTAGTGGTAATAGTGGTTGTTGTTGTTGTAGAAGTAGTAGTAATGGAAGTCTTCGAATCATCTTTGCCGGGCTGGCTTTGATTTTGAAGTTCAGATTTTCTCTTCCTACCTCTCTTCTTCTTTTCAACGGAAGGTGGCGGTTGTTGTTTCTGAGGTGGTGGCTTTTCGAAATCATCGTCGTCGTCATCTGCAATGACGTCATCGTCGTCGTCAGCGTCGCTACACAGATTAACATTCGACGTTCGTTTTCTATGGCCTGTCTTTTTATTGTTGTTGGATGCAGTGGCATTGCTCGATCTCTTCTTACTATTGCCAGATTTATTGGTGCTGTTTGAAGCATTGGCTTTGGTGATTAGTTTGATGATTTCGTCGTCAAAATCGTCATCACTCAATCTCCTATAATAATCGCTATCGTCATCTTCGTAAACGCCTGTCGCCGCTGCAGTATCTTCAAACAAACCATGCGAGGACGACGACGACGACGATCGTCGGCGTTTTGTAGTAGCAGCAGTAACGGAAGTAGATTTGTAATTAGTCGCTCCTCTACCTGGAAAAGAACGCGATGGCGATAACGTTATTATCGAAGATGATGACGTCATTAGCGGAGTTACTGGTTGGGGGGGTTGAGAATTTTTAGGAGGTCTGCCCCTTTTTCGTTTCGGCGGGGCTGCGCCTTTAGCGCCAGCATTACAGCTGCCGGCCGAGCCACCACCCCTGCCCATCTTAGTTGAGGTTGGGCCGTCGTTCGTTGAAACATCAAGATGATGATGGTGAGGAAGATGATGATGGCTACTATGGTGATGATGATAGTGGCCATGTTTATTGCTAGCGTCGCCACCACCGGCACTACCACTTACGTCATTTTTCTGGTGTCTGTGCGAGAAGGAACCATCGTAACTCTCGCAATCGGACTTCTTAATCTTGCAACCATTCCCCTCGTCGTCGTAATCTGTGAGAATGGCCGACAGGACGTTGCAGTACCGCGCGTCACTGGACAAAGAAGTGTAACTAGCTGAGGTGTGTATGGGCCGGTTTTTGTAATTAACCGCTAGCTCCTCCTTAAAAGAGCAAGAAAGAATCAGGCGAGGATTATCGTAAATTGTGTTTGTAGATTTGTGGGCTGTCAAGAGTAAGTTTCTTTCCTCTAGTTTTTTGATATTTTTTTCAGTGTTTTTCGTTTTAACTTTATTAACCTTATTATTTTCGTTATCTCTCGAGGTTTTGTTCTCAATTTTTGTAACCTCCAGCGGGTTATTAAACTTAATGAAACCATCGTCAGTTCGTCTGATGACTCCATAGTCGTCGTCGTCGTCATCATCATCATCGTTGCGGTAATAACTATTAGTGTAACAACCTCTCATCAGAGCATAATCATCATCAACATCACTCTCTTTATTATTATTATTTTTATTATTAATACAATCATAATCACCACCGCCCACGTTATCATCATCATCATCATCGCTTAGATTCGAAAAAAGTTTGCGCTTCTCCGTTAGATTCTTCTCTAAAAAATTATCACCACTTTTCAACTCACTCCCCTTATCACACTTTACACGAACATCATCACCATCACAAACACGACCATCATCATCATGATCATCGCCGCGACAAACATCATCATCATCATCATCTTCCTCTTCTTTTTCCTCCTCTTCCAATAGCTTGACGATGAGAGGTGCCTGCCTGTTGAAAGTTTCCTCCTTCATCTTCTGCATGTGCCTCTTCATCTTCTCGCGTTTTATTATCATGTAGCAGAGGTTTCGAACCTGTCGTTAAGAATTTGTGATCATTTGGTGAGTGAGTGAGTGAATGAATGAGTGAGTGAGTGATAAATGAGTGAGTGAGTGAGTGAAACAATGATTGAGTGGGTGAGTGAGTGAATGAGACAGTGAGTGAGTGGGTGAAAAAGTGAGTGAGTAAAAAAGTGAGTGAAAAAGTGAGTGAGCGAGTGGGAGATAGATCGACTGACTGATTGATTGACTGATGAGAGAAAAATAGAAATGAGAAGCAAAACGAGCATGTGTTAAAAAATGAAAAGGAGAGAAATACAAAAGCATGTAAACAATACACAAGACTCAGCTGTTACACCAAACAACCAAACACACACACACACACGCACACACACACAAACACACCCTTTCCAGTTCTTGTCGAAACTGAATAAACATCTTTTGCTGTGCCAACATTTTTTCCTGTTTGGGGTCCAGCTCTTTGTTGCCATCTTCATCGTCGTCGTCGTCATCGTTGCTCTCCGCGGGCAAGGTCATTAAGGGCTTATCAAATTGAGACTTTTTTGGGGGAAAATTAGGGTGAATTAGTGAAAAACGCTCTGTAAATTGGTCATTTTCATCAAAATTATCACCATCTTCATAATCCCATCCCCCGCCATTTGCATAGCCATGATCGCCATGGCTACCATTCGTCGTCATGGCTTGACCTACTTTTCTTTTGAGCGTCCAATAGGAATGCACGGCGACAACGACGTCATAATCGATGTCAAGGTTGTTTGATATTTCTGGAAGGTCAGGGAAGGTATAGAACTCTTCTGACAGTTGTTTCAATCTGTCAATCGATCAATCGATCGATCAATCAATCAATCAATCGATCGATCGATCAATCAATCAATCAATCAATCAATCAATCAAACAAACAAACCAACAAACTAACTTTTTCTTCCTCATTTCCTCCGTTAAAATCTCCTTATTCCTCTTCCCCTTAACAACTCCCCCGTGAGAGCCGCCACTGTGGCTACCACCACCACCACCACAATTACTACCATAACCACAAACAATAAGATCACTACCATCACCAGCAGCCCCAACGACAGCAGTGCCATCTTCAGTTTCAAAGATTTTTTCACTAATGCCGGAATGTTTCGGGCAGAAAGCTTTCATCTGCACATCCTCCGTCTCTTCGTCTATCACTGTACTCAAGTTCAGAGCTGAGTGAGTGAGCGAAGGAATGAATGAATGAATGAGTGAATGAATGAATGAATGAAAGAGTGAATGAATGAGTGAATGAATGAATAAAAGAATGAATGAGCGAATAAAAAAACGAATGATTGAATGAGTGATTAAGTAAGAATGAATAAATGTAAGAGTGAAAGTAAATGAATAAATAAAATTAATGAATCAGTCGCTAAAACTTACACAGTAAGCAATAAAAATTCTAAAAAATCTATGAATGAATGAATGAATGAATCAATCAATCAATCAATCAATCAATCAATCAATCAATTATTCAGCCAGCCAACCGACCAATTAGGAACTAACAATATTTGAAAGCGCACGTAACATGAAAGGAAGTCTTGCACGACTTGATGCTGCACTGAATGCAGGCTCCAGTCCTATCCCTACAAAGCACGCAGACTAGCGCCCATCTGCTCACCTATAATAAAGTTTCAATAATAATTAGGAATATAATAATTACACGCACACACACACACGCACACATACGTACTGGTATTTGTGATATATTAGTTATGGGCTCCATCTTTTCAGGACAGCCTATGCTGACCTCAGGGACCCAGAGGGCGCAACTTATGTGGGCCCATTTATCGCCACCCCTGTTGATTGGTTGGTTGTTTTTTGAGTGAAGTGGGAGAGATAGTTGATTGGTCTGTTCGTTTGTTAGAGTGACTGATTGGTTGGTTGGTTGGTCGAGCCAATTCGGCTGATTGCTTGGCAGAGTTATTTGATTAGCTGATAAAGTTATTTGATTGGCTGGTTGGGTAACTTATTTCATAATCATAATCAGCAACAGCGCATGGGAAAATTCACAAAGTACACGAGTACTTTTTCAGTGCGACAGTACTTACTTAGTACACTTCATAGCTCCTCCGCTCATGGGGCAGAGAACGCACTTGGGTTTGATTCCAAGTGCACACGTCCTACACAGCCAACTGCCTTCTGGAATGTTCTGAATGCCGTAACATGCCTGTAACAATGATGATGTGGATGATGACGACGACGATGACGATGGTGGTGATGTTGTGGATGATGATGATGGGGATGTTGTGGATGATGAAAACGATTACGATACTGACGATGTTAAAACTCAAAAATATGGGCCAACCTGATGAACGCAGATGTTACAATTGTCACAGAACACCATCTCGTTGTTCTCGTCACCTTCAGGCTGTTTGTGTGTGTGTGTTTGTGTGTGTGTGTGTGTGTGTCAGTGCACGTGCAACCCATATCAACCAATTATGATCAACCAACCAGCCAACAGCCAGCCAATCACATTCGACCAGACGAAAACATCTAACAAATCCCAATTAATTAATTAACTAGCATACTAACCATCCAACAACACTCAATTGGCTAATTATAACCAACCAACCAATTAACCAACCAACCAATCAACCAGCCAATTAATCAATCAACCAACCAATCAATCAATTAACCAATTAACCAACCAACCAGCCAACCAACCAACCGATCTGCAGATATCGCAGACGACATTTTCGTCATATTCAATACCCAGCTGTTCAATGGTCCTCTCCATATCCGACATCTTGACATAACACTGCTGCTCTATCTCCTCCACTAATCTCTCCATCTCGCACTCCGAAATTGGGTCACCCTGACCTAGATACATAATTTTTAATATATATATAAACCGATTTGTTAATAATAAAATAAATTATTTTTTAAACCGTGACCTAATTACATATTTTTAAAATGATTTCTTCAGAATTTCACTACAAAAAAAAGATAAACAATCAAGTAGGTCAAACAAACAAACCCATGTCAAGTCGTGATTGGTTAAAAATCTCCAGCCAATGGAGGTCAAGTTCGTCGAGGTCGTATTTGCACATTGAATCCACCTGGTTTTGAAGGTCATATGGTTCGTGGACGGATGGTTTGAAAGAATTGTCGAGGAACACGACAGAATGGAAGAGTTTCTTTGGTCTGTGGTGTTGTTTGTTAGCAGTAGTAATGATGATGACGATGATGATGTGAATGTTATTGTTGATGTGAATGTTGTTGTGGATGTTAATGTGAATGTTGTTGTTGATGTAAATGTTGTTGTTAATGTTGATGCAAATGTTGTTGTTGATGTTGATGTGAATGTTGTTGTTGAGGATATTGAAGAATTTGAAGAATGGTGTTGTTGAGGATGTTGTTGTTGATGTTGAAGTAAATGTTGTTGTTGTCGATGTTGACGATGAACAACACACAAACTAACAGAAAAAAGTCGTTGCAATATTCAATCTTCTTGTAATAATCGTCTATGGGACTGCAATAAAAGGTTTAACCAATTATAATTTAGTATGACATACAAACCTAAATACAAATGCCCACCAACACAAACCACACACACACATATATATATATACACACACACATATACACACACACACATATAAAAATATATATATATATATACGCACACACATACATACACGCACACACACATATATATATAATTATTCATACAAACAAATAAATATTGTATTTACTGAACAATAGGTAAAAATGCATTAGGATCCACAGGAACCTGGACCCCTCTTTCCCATTCCAATTTCCAGGAGTCAATGATTTCAAAATAATCTTCAGGCTGTAGAGTTTCTGAGTCGGCCATTTTCATTGCACTAATTAAATCCTTTCTAAACAACTGAAATCATAATAAAATTTAGTAATTAGTGAAGAATTTTTTATGGGGAAGTTAGAGACTCATAACTGCAAATTTTTAGCACTATATCAGTTATAAGATTCATTTAAAGATAATTACTGACATTTAATTAATTTAAATTTTAATTGAATTAATTAAAAAATGCTACTTCAGCATGCTTCTCCTGATTTTTGTTCCTCTTCGTTTTCAGAGAGTTTTTGCCATAGGATGTTGGCAATAAATCTGCTGAAGACATTTGAAAATAAATAAATGTGAATTTTAAAAACGCTTCATCAATAAACAATATTTGATTAATGGTCTTAAAAATTAAGTAGATTTAAATTTTAAATTAAATTTTAAATATAAATTGGTGAAAATTTAGAAATAAACTAAAAAATTAATCAAAAAATTAATTACTTGAATTCGTTAAGATATTGTCGTCCATTTTGTGTTTCGATCTCAAAATAAGATTAAATTAAAACTATAATTAAATAAAAACTTTTAAAATTTCGAACGATATAATCTAAAATCTGTAAAAAAAGATTGATCTAAATGCTAAAATGAGATCTACACGAAATAAACAACACTGTCAAAGCATGGTATAAGCATTGAATTATATATATATAATATATAATTATAGTTATATAATATAATTATACAGTTATATAATTCCTTGGGTATAAGTTGACAATTATTCTAGGTATATGGTATGGGCAATTCGTTGCGAAATCGTTGGAGGAATTGGTGTCATGTTAACAGTAGTTATTTTACTGCATGGTAGTTAATCAGCCGGTATAAAGGTTATATTCAATTCCTATAAAATAAATTTGACAAAATATACACAGGCAGAACTAAATAAAGAAATAGACATGTAGTTATAATACATTTATAATATTGTATTTACACATTCCAATTGTACAATTGTGTTATGTTGTAGTCTCAAATTATTTTAAATTCTCTCAGAAAATTTTAAACGTTTTACTACACTCTATATACTAGTTATTTTTATCAACAATTTAAAAATTTTATCAATAATTAAAAAAAAATTTCAAATTGATTTCATTGCGATATCACTAATGATTTTTGTGACCTGACTGATTAAAAAGCATCAAAGAAAGTTAAAATAGGATGGAGAATTTGTTATATTGGGATATTCGTTTAAAAAGCGAGCAAAATTTTAATATAAAAGCGCTTATAAATCTATGCATATTGGCTCAGCTTGGCTTGGCTCGGCTTGGAATCGGATGTTAAGCAAGGTGTGGTCTTAAACTATTTTGAATTCTCCCCGAAAAATTTGAACTGCGTGCGTACATATATAGTAATGGCTACTGTTGTTTTTTATAATGAATTTATGCATATTGGCTCAGCTCGGCTGGCTTGGCTCGGCTTGGAATTGGATGTTAAGCAAGGTGTGGTCTCAAACAATTTTGAATTCTCCCCGAAAAATTTGAACTGCGTGCTTACATATATAGCACTGATTACTGTTGCTTTTATAATGAATTTTTATTATATATATATATATATATATATGTATATATAAAGTGACTGGAATCCATGTATACAAATAATTAAATTATATTATATTAGATTATGTTTATATGAAAAGCAATATAGCAGATTCAACCAGCTACCAGAAAGTTTCGAAGGCGTTCGTTCGATGACTTCAATTTAGTACGGTTAGCAATTTGGTTAAGACTGTATAATAGTATAGTATATACATTAAATAAGTTTTTTATTGATGTGAATGATTGAAATGATGAAAATGTATAGTTGAAACGAGTATAAATAGGAGCTGAAAAAACGTTGAAATCAGATCAGGGATTTCTGCCTCGCTCGAGTCGGAGTGCCTGATCTCATTTTTTTATATTTATATTTTTTTAATTTATTTATTTTTATTTAATTTTATTTTATATAGAGTTATATAGAGTTATATAGAGTTATATAGAGTTTGCATGTCAGTGGTTTGTGTGTTTGTATGTTGTATTTTTTTTTATTTTAGGTGGGTTCTTTAGCGGTTGCTCATACATACATACATACATCATGTTTGTTTGTGTGGTAGTATTTTATGTTCTGTTTTAATCCTTTTTCTCTTTCTTCATGAGTCTTGAGTTAAGTTAATGAAGCATAGGTAGGTGAGGTAAAAATTATTTTATTATATAGGTAGGCTAGGGCATAAGATAATTTAGTTACATAGGTAGGTTAGGGACTCCTATTCTTTTACTCTACTTGGTGGTGTGATTTTTGTTTTGTGTTTTTTTTGTTTTGTTTCACATCATACATTCAGCAGGTACGCGGTGGTTCCTGGTTTTAGTGGGATTTTTATTGATTGAATGTGGTAGTATGCATGGTTATATAGAGTTATATAGAGTTATATAGAGTTATATAGAGTTATATAGAGTTATATAGAGTTATATAGAGTTATATAGAGCATAAATCCTATATAGATACCGTTCTTTGCGGTTCTTTTCTTTGCCGACCGGTCGGCTTCTTTGCGTTTCTCTATTTTCATTTAAATTAATTAATTAACTAAGATTTGTCCATTCATCTAGGTTCATTCAGGTTCATTCATTCAGGTTATAGCTTCCAGAGGAGTTCGTCGTGGAGGATCAGAATGGTTGTGATGTCACCCTACGTTCAACCTTAACCCTAACTTCCGACTTTACGGTTTCTTAACGGTTTCTTTTTTTGCCAGTTTGCTGGCTTTTCCGGCTGGTGAATTTCACTGCGGCTCGTTTCTCTATTTTCATTTAAATTAATTAATTAAATAGGATTTTTTCATTTCATTCAGGTTGAAGCTTCCAGAGGAGTTTATCATGGAAGATGTCAGGCTACGTTCGTTCATTCAGTGGCAAAGAATACCTGCCTGACTGGGATACGTTTTCTCCCTTTTTTCTGTAATTTAACATTAAGTAGGAATGCTCACACGTACACACACGCATACACAATTACATTAAGTACCTATATAGGTAGGTTAGTTAGGCCTAATTTTAATTGTAGGTAGGATAGATAGGGGGCATCCAACACTAATGTAGTTGAATAGGTAGGCAGCGTAAGTTTATCTCTTCTATTTTATCTTGCACCCACATTACACTCACCAGCGTATCACACACACACACAAATACATACATAAACACATATGTTAGTATTTGAGCGTAATTTTATTTTCATTACACATTCTAATTTATTATTACTAAGGTTGAGAGTAATTTAATTTCATAGGTAATTAAGAGCAATAATGTAATTCTTGGAAAAATCTTGTAATGTAAATTAAAACGCTGTAAGTGTATCGATAGGTAGGTTAATTGTTAAGTTTTACATTATCATTATTAAGTTGGAGCCCAAGGCATTACGTAGGTGGTGGGGTGGGTGCCGAAAGGCCAATGAATTGGGCTCTTGAGTTTTGTAATTTTAGGTAAGCTAGGACCGTAATGTAATGAATAGGTAGGTTAAGGCTATGTTGTAACACATACTCATTAATAGATTTAGGGTTTAAGTTTTATATTATTATTACTAAGTTGGAGCCCAAGGCATTACGTAGGTGGTGGGGTGGGTGCCGAAAGGCCAATGAATTGGGCTCTTGAGTTTTGTAATTTTAGGTAAGCTAGGGCTTAATTGTAATGAATAGGTAAGTTGAGGGTGCGATAGCCGATAGACTCTGAATTTCGAAGTCTCTTGTCAGAGGTAAGCCTTGGCGGCCAGTGGTGAACCGGCAATGGTTTACTATCCGGACGGCAATGGTTTACTATCTGCACGGTAATGATTTACTATGCGGCATGGCCATAGTCTACTACCCGCACGGCTTCCGGACGGCAAATGGTTTACTATCCGCAAGGCAGTAGTCTACTATCCGCACGGCAATGGTTTACTATCCTGTGCCCTGGCTGTCGGTGAACCTCTGCGCAAGGAGGGAGAATGAAGGGGGACTTTCGACTATCGTACCATTAATAATTTAATATAAATTAGTTAAGGTAATTGAATAGGTAAATAGGATTATTTTTATTAAGCAATTTGAGATACAGGCACCGCTAAGCTTTCTGATGAGAATCTACTCTTTCTCTATCTTTCTCCATCAACACGGGCTGTGTTTCAACAACAATCTCGAGGAGGACTGGCACCAGTTTTGGAGGATAACGTAGGAACCGGACGGCATTCAACATTCTGCCTTTGTCGAATTGACGGCGGTAAGTTTTTTTTACATTTTACTTACTTTATTATTATTTTAAAATTTTATTTATTTGACATTATTTTCATTTTATAATTTAATTTTTTTTGCTTCTAAGATTCATTTACTACTACGCAAATAAAAAAAAATTTGTTTACAGAATGATGAGAGGTGGGCAGTGGTGGGAGTCAGCACGTTTTAGATGGTGGTCTCATGATGATTTACATATGATGATGGTGGTGTAGGAAAAATCAGCTCGTTGGCTGTTCGACTGACACTCTGAAGTTCGGATGGCATTTTGTGTGCCGACCAGATGGTGGTGGTCGGTGCTATGGAAAATACAGTAACGACGATTTTTGAAGTAAGGTTTAGTTTCGTTTTTTATTTTTCTCATTCGTTCATTTTATCACTCAACCTTTTAAATTATTTTTCTATTAATTGATTCGTTAATTCATTCTATTCATTAATTGAATCATTGATTTATTAATTAATTCATTCATTCACTCATTCATTCAACCAATTATTCAATCATTCAGTTAATCATTTATTCGATCGTTCTTTTGTTCCTTGATTTACTAATACGCTAATAAAAAAATGTCTACAGAATGATGAGAGGTAGGCTGTGGTGGGCATCAGCACGTTTCAGATGGAGGTCTCATGATAATCGTTCCGATGACAATTCGAAGATAACAACGACGGATTTTGAAGTATGATTTAGTTTTTTATTTTTTATTTTTCTCATTCATTCATTTTATCACTATCTTTCGAATTATTCCTCAATTAATTTATTCCTTGATTCATTCTATTCATTCATTAAATCATTGGTTAATTAATTAATTAGTTAATTTATTCATTCAACCAATCGTTCAATCATTCAGTTAATCATTTATTCGTTCGTTCCTTTGTTTCTTGATTTACTACTTCGCTAATTAATAACTTGTCTACAGAATGATGAGAGGTGGGCTGTGGTGGGCGTCAGCACGTTTCAGATGGTGGTCTCATGATGATCGTTCCGATGACAAATCGAAGACAATGTTAAAGGTAAATTTGTTTTTGTCTCATTGTACCTTTGAAAGTACTCGAATTTGAATTGAACAAAGATTGAGTGTTATCTCAAAAGATAAGTTGCCTATTTTTTCCAATTGCTTGTTTTTTATTTTAGTGAATTAATTTTTTTTCAATTTATTTTTCAGTATCCGGTCAAATTCACTCCATCGATGCGTGTCAGATGATGGTCGGTGCAATGGAGGTTCGTCGGTAGTGAGTGAAGTTTCTGGAGAGTGCGCGCCCGCACATTTACACACATCAATACAACACACACATACACAACATCCATTCATTCGGTGTCGTTGTTGTTATGTTTCTCTTCAACTTTCTATTTTCTTTACCTGACTTAATTAAATTCATAGGTAAGTTAGGGATTGAGATGAGTTGAACAATCGTAGGTAGGCTAGAGCTTGACATTAGTTAAAAAGTTTCAAGTAAAATCAAAACGCTGAAATATATAAAATAAAATACCTAAAGCAAGTAAAATTCCAAAAACGTAGAAATACATATTTGTAGGTAGGTGAGTTGAGTTAATGATTATAAGTAAGCTAGGGCCCTGAGAGTAATTTAATTGTAGGTAGGTGACTGGCTACTATTCCTGCGACTTCTTATTAGTTTTTTGGGATGTTTGTTTGTTTTCGCTTCACAGCTCCACACCAACAAAACAAACTACATTTTATTCTCGTCGTCGCCTTAAATTTTACCTTTTTGAACAATCTTTTTAATAATGTCTATTTATTTAATCATTAAATGTTGACTGGTTTCTAGTTTTTTTTAAATTGGTTATACAATTTTTGGATATTTCTTGATTTACTTTGTATATATGAATGTATAAATTATTTCTGTTTAGTATGTTGATTTAGTCATTATGATATGCTGTGAACTGTTCTTACTAAATGTTCATGTTACGTGGTTTATTATCCTTCGAGAACTTCTAAGGAGTGTGTATAATAATAATAATAATGGATAATAATTATTTTTATCGGTCGTTATTTTGTTATATTTGTTTATTCAAAATACGAATTTTCAAAAAAATTGGCTTTTTAAAATTTTAATTAACCGTCACTTTTCATTTTTGAATGAATTCAAATAAAAGCAACTATTGTGTTTTTCTTTCTTTACTAAAATTTCGAAATTGTTTGTAGATCTGTACGGTTAACTGTTTGTTCGAGTTTGAACAGGCCTTGCAAATTTTTTTATATTTATTTTTGCTTTTATTTATTTGGTTCATTCAATTTAGTTGATTGATTGACTGACAGACTTACTGACCGACCGATCGACCGGTTGTTTGATTGATTCATCTCATAGTATTGTACAACGTATGATTTCAGCAGCCAGTTTCTTATGAGCACCAGCAGAATGTAAAATATTCATTGAATATAATGAAGATAGTTGTTCAAATAACAATTTTGATTTATTTAGGCCGTTTATTTCACAAGCAAACAAATTTTTAACATGATCGAATAGTGTAAAAAAAAGGGTGACTATAGTTCAGTCCTACTAAGCCAACCTTCGGCTTCAGTAAGCCACTGGATTTCACCGGACCAAAAGCAATTTTTATATTCAAATTAACAAAAATAATTTAATACATAATTCTATTAATCATTATTAAAATTAAATAGAATTACCACATAATTTTAAGCATATTAAATCAAGTAAATATTTCATATAGCTTGCTCATTAAAATCCATGCAATTTCGTAAGCCAACAATCCAAGCCTGACAAATAGCCCGACCGATAGATCAAATTGATCGATTAGTTCTATTATTCTAGTTATGTGATCAAAAATCATTCGCGTTGACACTGCACTGCACTGCATTTGTATGAGCCTAAGGCATATGATTATCTTTGGACAAATGGCCTACATCTTCCTCACACTAGGACATTAAGAAAGTAATCTTGTCATACCTGTTCAATAATTTTAATAAGATTGTTTTAAATAACTATTCTCAATGTCATTTTATTAACACTACATTAAAAGGTGGCTACAAAACATTGATGGTATGCCTGGGGTGATTTCTACAAACCTTATTGACTAATGGTGATGGGGATCCTCTGGAACTGTAGGATTATGACATTCAATCTAGTCATGGATTGAGAAATCATTCATTGTCCTTGATATATTTGATAACAAACATTTATTATAATATAAGAATGAAAAAAAGATGTAGGTGTAAGGCAAAATCTCACTGGAACTATTATTTTTAGCAATTTATGATTTATTTTTTTATTTATGACTTTATCCATTTTCAATGATACTGATATTTTTAATTATTATTATCCAAATTATACTCATGCCTATATAGATTAATTTGATTGTGGCTATTTCTATGCTTAATCATTTTATTTACTTGCCATATGTATGTGCCGCATTTAATAAATTAATGATAATAATTAATAACACAACATTCTAAGTGCATAAAATATAACAAATTAAAAGTATAATTTTTACAAACCTCATTGGTTATGGGGATTCTTTGAATTGAAACTGAATGATCATGATCTAACAAGTCGTGGATTGATGAATCACTGGAATCACACATTATCTTTAATAAATTTAATAACAACACGTACTACAATTTAAGAATGAGGAATATTTTGTAAAAAACATTAAATGAAAAAAAAAATTTAGTTTGAATCACTCATAAATCATAATCAATAAGTTTTAATTAAATTGCTAGTTAGCTTGAGGAGTTTGAAGCTTGAACTGAACAAAATTGTTTATTTTATAAAATTGATTGATAAGTTGTTTAATATATTTATTTAATTTAGTATATTTTTTATTCCAAGACCTAAGCATTGTAAATAAAAATTTTAAAACCAATCAAGCAATAGGATTTTCCCAGACCTAAGCATTGTAAATGAAAATTTTAAAACCAATCAAGCAATAGGATTTAGGAACAAGTGCTGTTAGTGTAGTAGTAGTATGTAGTAGTGTAGTGGTTGGTAGTTTCTAGTAGTCTAATCTGTTAATGTTCGTTAGTGTTATCTGTTATTTATTTTAATTACTAATTAGAATTAGTAGAGTTTAGTTTTAGCTTAATTATTAGAGTTTAGTAATTTAATTACTAATTAGTCGTCGTTTAGTCATGTTACAGTTAATGAGTTAATTAGTGTTAAGTTAACTGTTAAGTGCTGGTGGTTCACGAAAAATTTTTTTTATTTAAAATGCAAAAAGATACTTAACCGTCATACAGCAATATCTATCCTAAAACAGCATTTAGTATCACCTTTTAAAACATTTTGAAATTTTAAATAAAAGCAATATTCCGAAATTAGTAAATATTCGATCGTAACTTTTGACTTGGGCGATAAATCCATCACTTGCGAAGTTCAGAGCGGATCTCAAGACCCATCTGTTTTCAAAATTCATTGAGGAGCGCTGTTGAACATCGCGGAAATAGCGCTTTATAAGCTAATTGATTGATTGATTGAAAAAATCACCCTCCAATTCCCTCTCCGGAAGTAAGCTCCTTGTTCGACCGTCAAAAATGATCGAAGGCCGTTATATTTATTCTAATTATATGTTGACAACGAACCGTTTTGTTTCAAACTTTAAAAAATTATTTGAAAAGATTTTAAAGACGTTTAACGCGAATATACAAAAATATTACTACAATTAAATATTTAATTAATTTAAATTACTATTAAATTTTTCATTTTTGACTCATTTGTATATAATTATATATAGATATCATTACAAAATACCATGCAAAATACGCCAAATTTTGATTTATATGATAACCATAGTAACGAAGTGCTGGAATTGAAGAAAATAAGAATTGTTTATAACCACTAATTCCAAAGTTAGTACAAAAAATTGACAGAAAACCGTGAAAATTAGCTTCGTTCGAGACGTTTATGACAAACATTCGCTCATGGCTTCCTCAATTGAATGTTTAACAAACGAGAAACTCCTGGCTATGCGTGGAACGTTGGTAAATAATAAATTAATTCTACAAAATAATCACATAAGCTAACTTTTAGATGATTTAATTAAAATAACCAAAATCATAGTCTTACCCTAACCATTAAAATGTAATTTTTTCAGCCAAGTCACGTCCGTCGTATGCTGTCCCACTTCCTAAATTGGTCCTACCTATCAGACGAGGACAGTGGCGATCTACGCCACATCATAGTGATTGACATATTACAAGATCATATCTGCTTCTGTTTCACCAGCTTATTCACTATAAAAGCCACAAAAGAAGTCACACGTTTCGTCAATTTCATCCTCTTGAAAAGTCCATGTTGGTGAAAGTAACACAGCTCCCATCATCCTTTCAATTAATATTAAATAATTGATTGCCAATTAACTAATTATTATTTCAACTACACTAATACTCATTAATAATATGTCATACAAACATCATAACATAGCACAAACATTCACACATGCACCTGAAAAAAACAGGTTGGTCCATAACAGACACAATAGCTTACCTCACCTCAAAGGTAAAATCGAACTTCAACTCAACAATGTCAGAAGAGAACGTCAAATGTTATGTAAACTTCTTCAAAAACGAATTCCTAAAAGTTTACAAACTAATTCAGTTTGTCTTCTGCCAAACGAGGCACAAGATCACAAGAGAATTGTGCCTAGAAGTATGCACCCCACACTATCTTCCACGGTTATATAGGGCTAAACCGGCCGAGATATACGAATACGAAAAGAAAATCGAGATTATAAATGATGAAGAGATTAGGAAATGTGAATTGAGAGAAAATTTAAAACGGGCCTTTGATGGAGAGAAGAGAATGATTATTGAAGGAATGAAAAAAGAGAATAAAATTATTACTACTAATGATGTTAGTTACGAATAAATAAATAAATTCATCTTAATCATCATACATCATCATCATTATATCACCTTCATCATCTTCACCATCATTAACACCAACAAACATCAGCGTGACCCATAGTTGAGTGAGCAAGTTATCTTCTTCATCATCGTCCTTACAACCATCATCATTTTCATCGCCACCATCATCACATTTAGGAAATGACAAAAATGATTGAAGAAGTAGTAAGGGCACACATCGACTGCCTATCAAACAACATGAAGATAGAGTTGGATGGCCTCAAAGATACTCTAAAGCTGCAAGATCAAAGAAATAATATTCCTAAACCAGCAATAATGATGACGACTAAAGCAGGTTAAATAACCAATCAATTAACTATTCAATTAATTAATCAATCAATCGATCGATCGATCAATCAACTAATTAACAATTAACTAACCCAATTATGAGAAACTTATTAAATCTGCTAATCTGTCTAGTAAAGAAACGACATTTGAACTGGATCTCCATCCAACAACAACCATATTAGCACAAAAACGCACGGCATTCTTGCTATAAGAGCTGACAAACCACTCATACAAGCGGATCAAACATACAACCAAACACATACAGACAAACACACATACATTTATACATTTTAATATAAATTATTTAGTCATGAATTTAAGAATAATAATTTGGATGTAATTTCACTCAGAAGATAAGGCAGAGACGCCGAAGAAAGGTAAAAAGCTACAGAGACCATCCCCCAACAGAAAATCAAAGACAACTAAATAAAATTATTTGTTAAACACAGACACACAAACACACACACACATATATATATATATATATATATATATATATATATTAATATTATAACCATATGTTTGAGCAATAAACCTGCTGTTACTCATTTACCACCGACTAAATTTTTTTTTATAACTTTAATAAATTTTCAACTTTAATAAATTTCTAACTTGACAATATTTACACTAAAAATGAATCACAATTATTCATATTTACCTTTGAATAATAATTATTTATAAAGAAAGAAGAAAAAACACTACAAAAAGGTAACAAAAAAAATCAACTACAACGATGAACAAACCACAACGTTTTTCATTTGCACTAACTTTACGAATATATATATATCATATATAGATTGTATATATATATCATATAAGGTATAAATATATACTTATATATGTGTATCATATAAAAAGATATAAAGATATACATGTCTATTTTTGGTAATAAATATAGTAGCATGGTAATGGATCAAATTGGATTTTTACGCGTTCGTCCATTTGTTTGTTCATTCATCCATTTATTTTTCCATTCATCAGTTCATTAATTTTTTTATTCATTCATTTTTCACTCATCAGTTCATTCATTCATTCCTAGTAAGAATATTGACGATGATAATAATAGAAAAATATTCACCGCTAAAGAAAAATGACGTCAATAATAATAATAATAAAATAAAAAGAAATAATATTAATAAAATAACAATGATAATAATTCGCTTAATACGTTTTAATGCACATATAAAACTGGACAACATTAAAATCACTTCGATATAATCATAAAATCCCAGCTTAATGACAATGGTAATATTCAGCACTGAAGAGCATAATGAATGAATGAGTGAATGAATGAATGAATAATTCATCCGTCGTTATTAGAAGCATCACAATGAATGAATAAATGAATGAATGGCAGATTGGATGAACGAACAAATATAAGAACGAATGAACGGATGGGCGAACGAATGGATAAATAGATGAGTGAATGAATAAAAGAAAAGGCGTATGAATAAATGAAATATGACCAATATTTTCAACCCAATCGATACATTTATATATATACAACATGCAAAATATAAGCTTCTAAATTACTAATGATAACTATTATTGATTTTTTATATATGCTAAATTATTTAAGCGATATATATATATATATATAATTACAACAGGTATTAATACGTAGGTATAAATATAAACAGATCATTAATAAAAACATACATGTATATATATATATATATATATATATAAGGATATATATATATATATATAAATGTAAGGATAAATATATGCAATAATTCACGCACGCACGCACACACACACATATCATGATTTGAAATTTTTAAGCTTAGAGAATGACGATGACAACGACGATGATGATAATTAATAATATGATGATGATGATAATAATAATAACAGCAATGATGATGATGATGATGATGTAATGATGGTAGTAAAATTTCGTAACTGTAACTTATGTTAAGTTAAAAATATCAATAAAAGCATCTAGCACGCGTGTGTACACTGAGTGATCGAGAATTGAATATAACAACTTTTTTTCCCCTGTTTTTCATCATTAGTATTCATATTATTCATTTAATTTATTCATATTATTCGCTATAATTTATTCATATTATACGTTATAATTTATTCATATTATTCGCTATAATTTATTCATATAATTCTTTATTATTATTCATACAATTCTTTATTATTATTCATATTATTCTTAATTATTGTCATTGTAATTATTTGGTTATGTATTATTATTATTATTATTACTGTTTAAACTATTACTAGAATTACTACTACTGGTACTTGTGCTAAACTTAGACGTCATTATAGAATTGTTGTTATAACTGTTATTATTATTATTATTGTTGTTGTTTTTACTATGTGAAGTGGCCATGCAATCGGCAACAAAGACGTTTTGTTGTTGTTGTGGTTGATGCAGCTGCTTATGTTGGTCTTTAGAAGTTAGACTACTACAACTACTATAAATGAGTGAAGCACTATTACCGTCATTAAAACCGCTACTACAACTTAAGCTACCACTACCACTACTACTACTACTACTGCAAGTAGTACCACTAATACTACTACTACCACCACTACTAATACTAGAATTAATAGCAGTAGAAGTAGCAGCAGTAGCAGCAGCAGTAGTAGCAACACCATCAGAGGTAGCAACTAAATCATTAATGTTACAAGCAGGGTATCTGTTAGTTATTTGATTTTTGTTGCTGTTGTATTTTAAATTTGTTGACGTTGTAGTTTGGTCCTGTTTGAGTTTTGTTACTGCTGGTTTCTGTTTGTCTATATCTTCAGCGTTTCTGTTCGGCGTGTTAACTCTTTGCTGCTGCTGTAGCTGCTGTTGCTGCTTTTGAAGCTGTTCGATGTGCTGCTTGAGTTTTGTTACTGCTGGTTTCTGTTTGTCTATATCTTCAGCGTTTCTGTTCGGCGTGTTAACTCTTTGCTGCTGCTGTTGCTGCTTTTGAAGCTGTTCGATGTGCTGCTGTTGAAGCATGAAGAGCTGCTGCTGCTGTTGTTGTTGCAGTAGATGTTGTTGTTGCTGTAGTTGTATATGTTGCTGCTGTATTTGCTGTTGTTGTTTTTGTGCTTTCATTTGATCATACTGTTGTTGTTTTTGTTGTAGAGAAGAATTAGCTGCAGCTGCAGCAGTAGTGGCATTGAAACCTTGCAAAAACATTTGCTGCTGTTGTTGTTGTTGTTGGATGTTGTTGTTTCCACTCATCTTTTGGGCAGTCATGAAATCTTCATTTAATATCTCCCGCGATTGGTCGAGATTGACATCAGCCAATAAATTTGCAGCGTGTGGCGAGTTCCTATTGGTCAGCGGACTCGAGCTGTTATACCTGGCCGCCAGCATTTCACGAACTGTCTGCTGGGGACCAAATGATGATTGGATGCTGCAGCTGTTGATGATGATGTTGTTGTTGTTAGTGTGATCTCCGTACGATGAAATGTTTGGGGTTCCCTTAATTATCGAGCCCCTTGACTCTTGCCCGGTCGTCATTTGTGTTGCTGTCGTTGAAGTGATTGTAGTAGGCGACGGCATTAGAAGCTGCGGCTGCTGATGATGTTGAGTTTGTTGATTGGGAAACATTTTCTCCATTATCTGTTGTTGCTGTTGCAAAATTTGCTGTTGCTGAAGGGTCGGTAGTAGTTGTACCTGGTCTAAGAAATGTTGTTGCTGCTGCTGCTTTGGTTGCTGCTGCTGCTGTAGTTGATGCTGCTGATGTTGATGTGATGATATCAGAGGAGTTCCTAACGTTATGGAACCAGAGATATAATTATGATGTGATGACGAAACTGTTGTTGTTGTCATCGTTTGGGACGATGTCATCAATATTGAGGATGAACTAACTTTAGTTAATGTCTTAGTTGATGTTGTTGTCGATGTAGTAATTGTTGTTGTTGCTGTCGATGATGTCGGTTGCTGCTGCTGCTGTTGCAGTAAAACATTTTTGACGTCAAGTGCATCTGGTACTTCTTCCTTGATGGTTGTTATTGATGTCGTTGATGTTGTAGATGTTGTTGTTGTTGTTGTTGTGGCCGTCGTCGTCGATGTTGCGGGCAACAGAATTGAAGCTGGCAACTTGAAACTGTGTCCATTGCATTAATGATTAACGCATACTTGATCAAATTATTCAATTGCTCACTCAATCATACATTCACTCATTAAATTCATTCGTTCATTGAATTAACCATTCATTCATTCATTCATTCATTCACTCAATTCAGCCATCAATTTCAACTTACTCGTAAGGTGATGTCGATGATGACAATGAGGATGACAAGGGCATGAATTTAATATCTTTGCTGTCGTTATTATCGTCCACCTTTTCCTCTTTTATTTCTTTGGCCGCCTGAACCTGCTTTGTTTCATTCATTCATTCATTCATTCATTCATTCATTCATTCATTCATTCATTCATTCATTCATCCATCCATCCATCCATCATTCATTCATATCATATACTTATAAATTCATTAATTCACTTAATTAGACATTCATTCATACACTCCATAATTCATTCACTCATTTTTTCAGGCCTCCAATCATCCAATAATGAATGAATAAATGAATGAATGAATGAATGAATGAATGAATAAACTATTCAAATGGTGGAAGTATTAATTCAATCAGTCCAACTAATCAACCAACCAACAACACAATCAACTTAACCAACCAACCAATCAATCAGCCATCCACACAATCAATTTATCCAGCAAACCAATCAATCAATCAATCAACCAATCGATCAATCATCCGGCCAACCTTCTTAGCCTTATCAGTCTTCCTCCTACTCATGTGATGCTTTCTGACGAGTTGCTTGTAGTTCTCATTCTTCTTAGAGGCGTAATAAAACAACACACAGTCCTGAATGCTCTGAAGATGACGATGACGACGATGATGACGTTGAAGTTTGTTTAGGGTGACGTTGTTGAAGTTATTAAGTGCTTTTGATAATGTCCAAAAATTTTGATGTTGTTGTTGTTGCCGATGATGATAATACTGATTGCAACAATATCATCATCATCACGATCATCGTCATCATCACGATCATCATCATCCCCACAATCACCATCACGATCATCGTCATCATCATCATCACGATCATCGTCATCATCATCATCGGTACCTTAGTTTCTAGATGTGAGGCAATGTAAGCAAAGTTCTTCGGATGGGATGCATACCTCTCTTTGAAAATATCTCTCTCACCTGTTTCATCATCATCATAATCACCATTACCATCATCACCACCATCATCATCATCATCATGAATGAATGAATCGATACACGGATAGACAGATAGTTAGAACAATGAACGAGCGAATGAAAGACGACCAAAAAAAAAAAAACAAAAAAAAATGATACACAGAATGACGCACTTTGTGTCCAGTAGTTGCACCTCGTAGCTAGTGGCAAGAGATTTGACTCTGTGTTGACATCAATGTAGCCATTGTTGGATATGAACGGCCTTAACCTTTGATAGTGACCTTTGTAAAGGAGCATGGGAATCCTTGAGGACATCTCCCGCCTTTTACGAAGTTCTTCCTGGTGGTGGTGATGATGATGATGAGGGTGATGATGATGAGGGTGGTGATGATGATGATGGTGAGGGTGGTGGCGGTGATGATAACGATGATATTGGTAATGATGATGATGATGAGTGAGATGTTGGTGTTGATGACAGGGTATGTGATGATTTGAATCGCAACGGCGGTATAAAAAACAATATTGACGATGATGGTGATGATAAATACAACAACATCAACATCGAAAACATCAACAACATCAAAACATCAGCAACAACATCAAAAACATCAACAACAACATCGGGAACATCAGCAGCATCAACAACGACATCAACAACAACACATACTGACATCAACAATTTCATTATCCCCATTAGTATTGTCGGAATTATTGTTGTTGTTGTTGTTGCTACTTGAGGATTTGTTGCTTATGTTTGTAACTGTCGATCTATTTGTTGTTTGACAGGCAAATGAATGGAGGAAAGAAACGGAGAAATAAAAAAAGACGGAAAAAATCGACAGATGGATTAACTGATGATGATTTATAAGATAGTATATTGTATGGGATAATCTATTTGCTGATTGATTGATTGAATGATCGATTGACCGATCGATCGATTGATTGATTGATTGATTGATTGATTGATTGATTGATTGGACAAATTGATTTTTGATAGATAAGTTCACAAATGGATAGATGGATGGATTGATTGATTGCCAAACAAATTTATAAAATTTATTTCAGCAAACAAACTAATCAATCACAATCGATCGATCACTATCAATCAATCAACCAGCTAACCAGTCAATCAATCAATTAACCAATCAATCAACTGATCAATTAACCAATCAATTAGCCAATCAACCTAGCTAATCTTTCTTTGTCTTCGCGTTTTTTTCTCAGATCTGGAAAAACCTTTTCAAAAATCTCCCTCACTTTGGCATCTTTCACCCTTCGATCAGTAATAATTAACCGTAATTATCTTTCCTAATTAATTATAACCTAATTAATAATTATAACGATATCCATAATTTTAGTAATTAAAACCGAAATCGCTAACAAAAACAGAAGACAGATAAACAAACAAACAAACAAACAAACAAACAAACAAACAAACAAAAAACAAACAAACAAACAAACAAACAAATAAACAAACAAACAATATCAGCAACAACATCAATAATAATAATAATTAATAATAATTAATAATAATAATAACATCCTCGTAATTACTTCTTCTTAGGGTTGGATTCAATCTTTTCTAGCCTCTTAAACCAGCTGTCGCTGAGCTTATCGTACATCCTACACAGATATCTATCCTGTATTTCGAGGTGAATAAAAATAATAATAATAAATAATTAATAATAATAATAAAAACTAGAGAAATATTAATAATAAATAATAAATAAATGCATCGAAAATTATTAATTATATATTAGAGTGTAAATAAATAAAATATAATGTACGATCCTCTCATGCTCTCTGATCAACAAGTGCTTGAGAGTAAAAAATATATTTAAAATCGGTTAAGTAGTGTTCCTATTACAATATATGCTATATGACGAGCTAATTACCGCGTTAATCAATTTTTCATTAAAAGATTTCGGATAATAATGAATATATAATAAATAATAATAATAAATAAATAATAATAATCATTATTATTATAAACCCTGGAGTTTTCAAGATGCTTCTTTTTCTTAATGTAGGATATTAACTGTGGCTTGAATGCTACAAACCTGGAAGGACATACAGATAAAAATAACTGTGAATAAATAATACACACACACATACACATACACACATACATACACAAACACACATACATAAATACACAAAAACATAAACACACACATACACAAACAAAAACATACACACACAAACACATACACAAACACAAAACAAACACAAATTATATTATAATAATAATATAATATAATAATAATTACATTAATAATAATCAGCGTATCACTCCAACGACGACAAAATGTATTCATTCAGATGAAATAAGGTAAATTTTTGTATCGTATCACACACAAACACACACACGAAACAAACACAGAAATTATATTATAATAATAATATAATAATAATTACATTAATAATGACAAAATGAATTCATTCAGATGAAATGAGAGAAATTTTTGTATCGTATCACAGAGAAAGTTGTATACATACTTTTTAATATTTTCGTGGTATATATTCACGTCAGATGGCTGATGGTAGAGAGGCTGGTGTTTTGATTGTATGGCATCGGACATTTTTATTACGTCATTATTAATTATAGTTATAATAAAATATAATATTAAATAATAATAATAAATAATAATAATAGTATTGATGATAGTATCAATAGCCTACCCTGTAGTAAATATTACTTCCAGGCTTTTTCATAAATGCATGGGATTCCATGGCTTTTGACTAGAATGGGAGGAAAACATGAACATGTACACACTCACACGTACATTCACACGCACACACACACACACACACACAAACACAAACAAATTAACACACACACATTCATACACAAACACACACACATACATTCACACATTCATACACAAATACACACACACATTCACAAATACACACAAATAAATTAACACACACATTCATACACAAACACACACACACATACATTCACACACAAATACACACACACACATTCACGCACACGCAGCACATACCCTATTCTCTGAAAATATAGTATGACTGATGCACTGTTTGTTGGAGTCGATTATATTTGTAGGAGTGGCTGCCGACTTTTCATCATCTGGCTTCTTCGCCTCTTCCTCCAAATGCTCCTAACAACAACAATAAAATAGTAATAATAATAATACGACCAAATAATAATAATAAACACCTTTTTTTTTTGCAGTTTGACAATTGACTGCTCGATCTTAGTCAGCTCTCTATCCAATCTAAATAAAAGAGATGGAGCAATAATATTAATATCATTGTTTATCACAGGAGGAAACACATACACACACACTTTCACACACTTAAACACACACACACGTATAAATATATATACATATATACCTAGTTATATTTTGTAATATTTCGTCTTTGGATTGTTTGATGAGATCGTCGTCATTTTTTGCTTTGTCGTCCGTCGGTAAGGTCGGGGAAATGGCCTCGACTTGGGGTGTGTACGCACTATTATTATTATTGTTGTTGTTGTTGTTGGGCTGAATTGAAGGTTCCTGAATTGGGTAAGGAAAAAAATGTATTAACATGACATAAAAACATACATAGAAAAGCATACATACGTGAATGAATATAAAAGCATACATACATGAACATACATGTAAAAACATACATACATAAATATACAAACAAATACATATAAAAAAACATACAAATATAACCACAAATATACATACAAAAATGTACCTACATACACACAATCCTTAGTGCCAAGAACAAACATACCATCATGAATCCAACCAAATATTCATACATGGACACACGCAATAAAAAAATCCCAAACAAGCGGACAAACAAACAAACAAATAAATAAACAAAACCTTTTTAATTGTCATAACTTTCAAGGGCAGCAAACATTCATTGTTAATATTATTATTGCTGCTAATACTACTACTACTACTACTATCTTTCCCACTACTACTACTACCACCACCAACGATATAAGAACCATTATTATTATTATTATTTACAGTGTTATAGTTATTATTCCTATTACTGATATCATTATTGAAGGCATCTAAGTAAATATGTCTTTTATTGTTATTCATATTATTATTATTATTATTGTTGTTGTCATCAATAATGTTATTGGTGGTCAGATTAATGGCCGCCTGATTTGGACCCCCAAGACCTAAAAGTCCAGTTGGGTTATTATTCTGGGGTAGGCCAGCGGCCAGTAGCATAGGAATTGGCAGACTTAGGCCTAAATTAGGCAAACTTGGCAAGTTAGGTAGATTTATGTTGTTGTGTTTTGTTTTAGAGTTATTAATAAGTTGATGTTGTTGATATTGGTATGCGAGAGATGGATTATTGATTTGTGTACTGTTGCTGTCTTTTGCGCCGTCTACAGACATTTGCTGCTGCTGTGGCTGGGAAGGTTGCGGCGCCTGGACATAGCTTATTACACACACATCATCTTTGTCAAGCCTAGCATGAAAGGAGAAAACAATGCTTGTTTCTCAATTAACATATACTTATTACATATGATAGGATGGTTAATTAAAAAATAATGAAATATTTTCCTCTTTTAAGAAACTTACAAACCCAAAAACTAATTTAAAAAAAGACACAAGTGTAAAGAGATAAATTGTCAATTACATATCATTCTGTTGGAAGCTGATTGGAGGCTGTTGTTGTTTGTGCTTCTCTGCCAACAATGAATCTCTCAAATTTACATGCTCCAACTCATTCTAGAATAAACAGATAACCATATAAATTAATAATCAATTAATTAATTAATCAATATATATGTACATATATATACTTCTAAAATATTATAAACTTAGAACATTAGTTCGTTTTAACAAAAGTTATTTATAACAATACATATATATGTATATGTATATATATATATATATATGAATATATATTCATGTCTAACATTTAATATGTTGAAAATTTTTAAAATATCAAAATTAAAAAGGCACTCCTTAAAAGAATGGGACACCTATGTTAAAATATTAAATTTAATTCTTATACATTTCATAAGAATGGATGGAAACGCTTATGGGAACATAAAACATGATTTTGTTGCATAACAAGAATCACATATAAGTATCACGTATCTGAAATATAAAATAATGAATACAGCATGGTTGATTTGCTATAGAAACTATGAAATGTATGAGAATTTAATGTTTTAACATAGGTGTCCCTTCTTTTAAGGAGTGCCATTGAAAGCATAAAAAATCAATATACAAAGTAAGCAAATGTAAAATTCTGCAAATAAAACAAATATTTCAAAATATGTAATAAAACATTAAAAAATGACTGAATAAATTTTTTAAAAATCTATATATATAACAAAACAATGACCTTGTGGCTAAAATGATAGGGACCATTGTTGGGTTTGTAAAAGGTTGCTGGCAGTTGCAAATTGAAAGCAGACGACAAGGAAGGCTCTTTGCTGCTGTTAGTGAAGAGAAAATTAGGTGGAACATTTAGAGACAAATTAGGTGGGCTAGATGTTCTGGCTTTTTTGCTCATTTTTATGTTCAAGAAAAAGTCAGAGCTGGTTATTAAATTGAATTACAATCTTTCTTTGTTTGACTCTTCTCTTTGTTATAAATTATTTATTTAAAATGTAAAAATATTTAAATAAAAATAAAATTTAAAATTAATTTTAATTTAATAAAATTAAAAAAAGAATTGGTATTCCAATGGCTAATCATTGAGCGTTTATCTTTTAAAAATTATAAACTAAAATCTAAAAAAATTAGTAAATTATTAAAATTAGTAATTATTTTTCGAATTATTAATTAGTAAACGAATTATGAAATTAAAATAAAAACAAATCCATCCAGGAAGCCATAACAAAGACAGGAAACTGTAAAAAATAAACAAAAGTATAAAGGAATTTATTTGGTATTTCAATTGGTAATGGTCAGTGAAGTTTAATTTTAATTGTTAATAGATATTTGAAATTTTTTTTAATGAAAAAATTATTTATTTGTTTTATTTGCATTTATAAATCGCCTTTTATTGTAAAATGACGGAATATTTAATTTTAAAGACTAGCTCAGAATCTTCTATCTCTGCTAATAGCATTCTCTGGTCTAAGTCCTTTTTTAGTTTTTACCGTTTTTAATTTCAGGGACTTAAATTGATTAAAGTAACTTAAATAAATTCCAGAAAAAATATAAAAGAAATTACTTGGAAAAACCATGAAGGTCTACGTTAAAGTGTTGAATGGCGCCAGCATTAGTCTCACGGTTTGTCGCAAAATCTCTTTTTAAGTACTTTTGAAAAAATTCAACAACTTTTCTTTGTTTTTTAGAATTTAGATTTTTAGAGAGAGTGTCTGTCTGGCATCACATAGATTTTTTTTTACCATGGCATATAGGTACCTAACTTTAGTTTTAGGACTAGCATCCTATTCTCAGTTGCCGGCTAACTAAATTTAGGTATTTGTAATGGTAAATAACTTGCTTTTTTCACATTTATCATTTATGAGTTTTCATCTTAATTCTTAGTTAATAAATTTTATCCTGGACTCATCATAAACAATTTTTCAACTTAATTTTAAAATTATTCATTCTTTTTAAATTTTAGTTAGACAGACCTTCTTCTATTGAAAATTGGATTTGAAAATTTTATATAGGTTTATTATACATTATTTATATACATTAGTAGATGGAAATTGAGAAGTAAAAATAATAAAATATATATAATCTTAGTTAGATTCATATTAAATTAAATAAAGATATGTAATAAAATAAGACATAACTATAACATATGTAGATGATGAAATTAACTTTTATTAGGGAACCTGTAATGAAAAAAATTACTTAAAATAAATTACAATAGGTAACAGAGAACACTACAGTAGCAGAACTGAAAAAGTTGGTTTCTCAGGAGTTAGACGTACCGATCAATAAGCAGAGATTAGTGTTCAAGGGAAAACCATTGCAAGGTTTTTCAATTTCTATAAAATATTTTGTTCTCTGTTTAGTATAATGTCAATTCACAGTTATTAAATGTAATATAATTCTTACAAAGTGCCAATTAGAGATTCAAATTTACAAATTATAATGTCTTAAAGGGACAGTCATGCATATTTATTGTCCAACTACTGACAATAATTTTACAAAATTCTAAACCATCACAGATGACCAGATGCTAAAATCCTATGATGTGATAACAGAGAGCAGAATAATGCTTACAATAAAGAATGATGGCCAGCCAGGTAACGGTACCAAGCCACTCATCAATCAAACCAGCAGACAAGCAGCACAAAGCTTTGCAGAGAAGAGAACATCTTCCTCGTTTTCCTTCTCCTCTTCTTCATCATCATCGTCGTCGTCGGCCAATCAAACCCAGCAGCAACCACAGACGCCATTCCAACAGCAGCTGAAATCAATCCTCCTCAAACATTTCAGCATTGTTGATTCTGCAAGGATTTTAGAGCAATACAACAAAGTGAGATGAACTAGATGGAATGTATTAATAAATTTTATACATTTTTTGCAGTTTAGTTCAATCATCTCTACTGCAGTGGCTACATTTACTGTAAAAATGACAGTTACATGTACAAATTTTTTATTTAAATTTGCAACATAATGCAACAGCACTCCTGACAATCTGTCAACACTACTTAATAATTTTATCTTTATTACAAGATAGAACACTTATTAATTATTATAATTTTATTATTGTAAAATAATTCATAATTTTTACTTTCAGAATTGGAACATAGCAATGAGCGGCCTCACATTGGATAACATTGAAAAAACCGCAAGACTGAATCTGGCCAGAGCCTCTTAAGTTGTCATGTCACAGCTCTCAGCCATACTCTACCCACTATATCCATCTTTTTATTCCTTTCATTTAGACATTTGATGAAATAGAATAACGTTGTTTTCTATCGTATCAAGTTCATAAAACTCAAAACGAATATCAAACATTCACCGTTTCTATCAATCTATCCGTTAGTTTCGACAATTCGATATGTATCTTACATATGTATCTTGATAGAAATAATAATTGATAATGACAACAGTGACTTCATATCAAAAATTTAAAACTGTTTTTAAATTAAAATAATATTTATTCCTCTCCAATTCATCAGCCAACAAGCATTTTTAAAATGCTAATTCATAATTAAATCAAACTTAACAGGACATAATTAGAAAAGTGTAATTTATAACATAACAACAATAATGAGGATGGTGATAAACTTAATTGCTAATGATAACAAATCCCATTTTATGCAACAGTCATCCGTTCACTAATCCCTAATCAAATTTAATGGAGTTAATGCCGGTATCGATGGCCCCCCCTTTGTAACTGCCTCTCTTCTTTTTGGTCTTTTCATGCCTGAATGACTTTCCTTTTGTCGTTTTTAGGTCCTCGTTGGCTTTTTCACCCCATGATCCCTTGGCCCCAGGCTATAATTAAAAAAATATTTAGAATGAATAACTTCACTTATAATAATATAGTAATATAATAACATAATTCATTATAAATTTAATTTTAACACTATATTACTGATAAAAGCAAGAGATAATAATAATTGTACGTATCACAACAAACACACACCTTGGCTTCAAATGAATTATCCTGCATCCTTTCGTCCACAATTATCTTGGATGGGTCAACCCTCTTGAATGGACTGTTTTGCAGTTTCTGAAAATTTTTTTTCATTCAACAATGATCACGTTTTAAAGTAAAATAAATGTTTAAAAAGGGTAAATAATTAGTTTAAAAATAGTTAACTATTTATAATAATTCACGGAGACTAGTCTTATTTTCATTTTAAAAAATTTGATAAAATCTAGTCTTATAATCAGCTGTAATAATGAAAATAATTCAATGTTACATCAACAATAATACAAATTATATTATAATAAACTGTTAATTATAGTAACAACGGACATAACAGTAAAATAATAACAGCAATGAGCTCAAACTACAACAGCAACAAACAACAAATAAAACCTTTCCCTTTTTCTTCTCTCCATCTTTACCTAATGCACTAACATTGGCAGCTGGGGTGGATGTATTTACTTTCTTACCATTTTCACTATCATCATCATCATCACTACTGCTGCTACTGCTATCATTGCCACCATTAATTGCAGACTTGCCGGCAACGACATTAACAGCCTGACTGCTAGATTGATTGGCTGCTGGTTTTGCAGTGTCATCATCGCTTGAATCCTCATCACTAGAGCTATCAACATCTTGTTTTGCTGCAACTGCTGCTTTTTTTAGATCCGCAGCTGGCTTTGATGTCTTTGCATTTGCTGATTTTATTGAATTATTCATATTAGTTGTTGACATATTTTTGTCATCCTCATCACTTGAATCATCACTAGAGCTTTCATCCTGTTTTGTTGAAGCCACTGTTTTTTTGAGATCTGTAGCTCGCTTTGATTCCTTTGCTTTTGCAGTTGTCAGATTTTTGGTATTAGTAGTTGTTGATGATGATGTTGGTTTTGCTGTATCATCATCATCACTTGAATCATCACTGGAGCTATCAACATCCTGTTTTTTGGAAGCTGCTGTTGTTTTTAGATCTGCAGCTGGCTTTGATATCTTTTCATTGGCTGCTTTTGAATTATTCAGATTAGCCGTTTTTGTTGCTGACGCTGTTGACATATTTTTGTCATCCTCATCACTGCTATCATCATCACTCGAGCTATCGTCATTAGCATTTTGTTTTTTCTTGGTCTCAACAGGCTCCTTGGCTACATCATTTTTATTATTAGTAGTGGCAGGAGCAGCAGTGGAAGCTGAAAGTTTAGTTGCAGTTTTAACTTTATTTTTTAGATTTTTCGTCTCAGGATTAACAACTTGAGATGCAGGAATGGCATTATTGTCATCATCATCATCACTGCTGCTATCATCATCAGCAGCAGCAGCAACTGGTTTCGAAGACTCTTCAATTTTAAGCTTTTTTGCTTGGTTATTTGACTGTTTATTAGATCGTTTTGTTGGCTTCTTCTTTTCCGAGTTCTCCTTTAGTTTGGCTGCTGTAGTTGAAGATGAGGCAGCACAACAAGTACATAACATCGCAACAACTTCTGGCTGGTTAGCCAGGCTATACTTATGCTTCTGAAAAGTAAAAATAAAATTTACTTTAAATTTTAAATTAAAATAACAATATATTAGTGAACGATTAAAAATTATGTTAAGTTTATGTTAAGTTTTCCAAATGAAAATCAAAATCATAATCATACACCTTATCACTTTATGTTTTTTATAAATATTGTGCCTGATATAAAAAATATAATTATATAAAATTATAAAATAAATAAACTATGTAATATATAACTAACTAAACTAAAGCTAAACACAAACAGTAAACCAACTTTGAGGATTTCTGCCAAATTTTCATCTTGCAAGCCATCCAACAGTTTATTGAACAAGGTGCTCTGCAGAGAAATAATTGTGAAAACAATTAAAATTAAAACATACAACGATCACGTACAGCACAATTCTCAGTGACGATCGGTTATCAAGAGTGAGATATCAAAAAATTCGGCAACACGTGTTTCTTAGTGTCAGTTTGTTTGGTTAGTGAGCAAGTATATTTTGTAGCCGCTTGTTCAATTTTTCAAAAAAACCCTTTTAAATTATAAAATGAACTTACAACTTTAAGATCAAATTCTTCCAACAATTTTCTTTTGCGAGAACTTTTATCGGATGCCATTCCAACAAATATCTAACTAATCCTAATGACAAACCTTGATTCACGTTCTAACAAGATAGCTTATTAACGCTCAGTAGCAAAGATCATACAATCTGCAAGGAAATTGCCTTGTAAAAATGTTAACGCTTAGCTCGACTTTGCCCCATATAATATATATCAATATAGTATATACTATATACATATATTTAATATTATATACATAATATAATATATATACCCAATGTTTATACACTCAAAGGCACACGTACATACACATAAAACATCTGATGTAACTGTATAATCGAAGTTTTAAATGAAATATATGTTGAAACAACGGTATAACATTAAGACATTGGAAGTCCGGGAAACAATTAAGCATAAACCAGAAATAAAAGTGCAAACAAAAAGATTGAATGAATAAAACTATGATTACCTCTTCTACCATTGAGTTGAGATGATTAACACAATTAAAGAACAGAAAAGAAAACAACAAGAAAACGAATAAACGTAAATTATTCTGTATTTAAACATGACAATCGTAGAAGGAAACACTAAATTAAGTGTTCAATCAATCGATCAATCAATCACTTATTCAGTCAAATAGCTATCGAAATGTGCAAACACACACCCGCGTACGATTTTAAAAAATTCAGCATAACATAACGTTAATTTAACACTAATTTTAAATTGAAACGGGCCATTAAAATAACGATAATACAGAGACAATTTATTAATTTATTTTTAAACATATCTTAGAACATGCATACAATCTATTATCACCCATCGATGATACAATCAATCAGTCATTAATTAATCAATTCACTATTCACTAATCATCAAATTTAATGGAGTTAATGCTGGTATCAATAGCTCCCCCTTTGTAACTGCCTCTCTTCTTTTTGGTCTTTTCATGCCTAAAGGATTTTCCTTTCGTCGTTTTTAGGTCCTCGTTGGCTTTTTCACCCCATGATCCCTTGGCCCCAGGCTATAATTTTTAAAACAATAATTATAATGATAATAAAATGATAATTGTGATGAGTAAAATAATAGAGATAAATAAAAATAATGATGATGATAATAAAGTGATAACAATGTACCTTAGCTTCAAATGAATTATCTTTCATTCTCTCGTCCAGTATTATTTTGGATGCATCAACCCTTTTGAACGGGCTGTTTTGTGATTTCTGTATTGGTCGATAGATCGGATTGATTCAACAATATAACAATAATAATGATCATATATTGATAATATAAAACAATCAATAATTGATAATATAAAACAATTAATAATTAGTATAACATGAAACAAATTGTTAATTATTATCTAAAACTCAGAAGTACTGATGGCAATATTTTCTTCATTTAAAATCCAAACAGCTAACCATAAAATAACAAGAAAAACAATATTATCAATATAAATCCAAACATTAGCATCATCAGCATCGACAGCAGCAACACTATCAATAAAAGAATAAAACCTTTTCCTTCTTCTTCTTTCCATCTCCCGATGCACTAACATTAATGGCTGGAGTAGATGTTTTCATAGATTTATTCACCTCATCATCACTATCATCATCACTACTGCTGCTATCACCACCCCCAGTGACCGACTTGTTGGCAGAAGCACTAACTGCCTGACCGGTGGGGTTTACCTTGATCTTGTCTAAACTGCTCTTCTTAATTTCAATTACTTTTTTAGGCTTTGTGGCAGGCTGTGGAGTATTCGGAGATGTTTTATCATCCTCTTCGTCACTATCTGAGCTGGAATCCGACTCCTGTTTAGATTGTGGCATTTTCGCTGTAGATTTATTAACAGTTGTTTCTATTTTACTAACATTGCCACCTTTAACGATATCATCATCGCTACTGCTACTACTACTACTATCATCATCTTGCATTTTTTTGACTGAATTTGATTGGTTGGCAGCAGCGGCAGCAGCAACCGTGGCAGCTGCTGAATTCTTGACACTAACATTGGCAACATCGACATCACTATCTGACGATGAAGATGATGATGGTGCTGCTCTCTTATTTAGAGAACTCAAAGCAGGTTGGGTCTTTGGTTGGATGTTGGCCACCTTGTTGACAGCACTCAATTTGGCCTTGACATTGGCGTTGTTGCCGCGTTCGTCATCGCTGCTGTCATCAGATGACGAATCCTGAACTGGCGCTATTTTACTTTTAGGGTTCAACGTCACTGAAGGTGGTGCTTGTTTTTCTACTGAATTTTTTTTCAAGGTAGATGGCATTAGGACATTGATGGATTTGATGGCTGTTGGTTTTCCTCTCTCATCATCATCGCTACTGCTATCATCTGATGATGAGTTGGCAATTGCTTGCTTAGTTGGTGTGACTTTTAAAGTACTGCTCTTGCCTGCTGGGTTGGCAATCACAACTGGCTGTTTTGTTGCAGATGGTTTCAATTTTTTTAAAACAACAGTCGTCTTTTCGGCTTTTGGCTTTTTTGATGCTGTTGTAGATGGTGGTGGAGGTACAGCATTGAATGATGCTTTTTCTTGCACTTTTGATTGCGATGCATTTGGGGCCTTTTTAGTGTCAGCAACATCATCATCACTTGAGTCATCATCACTGCTAGAAGTGCTGTTTTTGTTGGCTGCAGCTGTAGTAGAAGCAGCCGTAGTAGTAGCTGTGGACTTTGGATCAGGTTGCAGTTTAGTGATTGCTGTTGGTGGCTTTGTTGTGTTGTCATCATCACTCGAGTCGTCACTTGAATCATCATCATTTTTGCCACTGGTAGCAGCTGTAGTAGCAGCAGGAGCTGTAGCTAGATTTTTATTATTTTTTACAATTGCTGGTGTGAGAACTTGAGATGGAATTGGAACGTCATCATCATCATCACTGCTGCTACTGCTATCATCATCATTATTAGTAGTAACAGCAACAGCAGCAGTAGTAGCAGTTTCAATTTTAGCCTTTTTAGCTTTTTTATTTGACTGTTGTTTTTGTTGTCGCTTCACTGGCTCCTCTTTAGCTGCAGCAGTTGAAGCTGATGAAGTAGCACAACAGGTGCATAACATGACAGCTACCTCTGGCTGGTTAACTAGGCTATGCTTATGTTTCTGAGAATAAAAAATGTTTCAATTTTTCTATAAAATTTTAAATCCTAACAACATATTATTAGTTAATTAAAGAATAATATAGAATTGATTAAAGATAGCATAAGAGCATGTATTACCAGAACTAAAATATCATATTTATATTGTAAATCTAAACTAAACTGCTTTATCAATGAGTCATTATGCAGCAATATTAGCTAGATTTATTAGCAACCTATACCTAATCATAGGCCATATTATCAAAAATAAAATTTTAGAATAGATCAAAAACTAACTTTGAGAACTTTCGCTAATTCTTCATCCTGCACATCAGTCAACAATTTATCAAACAAATTGTTCTGTAGGGAAAGAAATAAAATAAATTAAATTATGATAACAACCTTATCTCAACTTTTAACACATCCTGCCAAATCAGAATTATAAAATAAGCTTTAAGCTTAAGGTTAAGCACTAGTTTTTTAGTTTGGTTGGTAAGCAACATTGATGTTGATTATTTTAAAAGAAAAGTGTTAAACTGAAATAAAATTTGAAAAAACATAAACTCACCACTTTCAAGTCAAAATCTTGCAACAATTTTCTCTTACGCAATTTTCCTTCAACGTCCATTTCTGATTTATAATAATTTTTACTAGATCGAACTTCTCGTCGGGCCGGAAATTTTCTATTAACGCTCAACAGCAAAGACATATACAACTTATATATGAAACAGATCACGTAAAGCAAAGATACAAGAGACGACCAAAGGCATGACATTACAATGAGTTACAGAATCATAATATTAAAGTTTCCACCATTTTTACAGTATTAGTTTGCTTATGTAACCACTGATTTAAAGGTGCGGTTATGTAGAATAGTAAATCTTTTTGCAAAAATGTTGATAGTTTATGTATGATAATACTTCAATTTTTGTGGAATTCAACAGATTTTCTTACACCTTTTGACCCATGTTCAAAATAACCAACACATTTTTGTTATTTAGAACATTTAAATTTCTGACAAACGTCCTACTTTTTAACAAACTACATTTACGTATTTTAATGATATATTTTAATATTTGAAAAACATGCCATCAATACATGAAAAATAATAAAAAAAACACATGTAAAATATCTGTACACTGAGCTGTATATATATATATAGAAATAATTTCTCTACATAAAGTCAGGCATATCTGTCTAAAAACGAAATATAATGTAAAAATTGTAAAATGGCTATCAAAGATATATATACACATGGTATCAATATATTTTTATAACTATGCAATTTCTGGCAAAATATTTAAATAAATAAGCGAAAATTATGAACAAAGATAAAAAATTTCATTAAATTCTACTTAAAAACTCAAAAAATTGAAATGCAACGTAATTAAACTAAATGGAATAGAATTATTTTATGAGTTCGTCACAGGATTGTACTCAAAAAGCTTGACAATCCCTGATCTTTCTACAACGAAGAGGTAATTTTTCGTCAAAGCAGAGGCTTGGGGCCATCTTAAACCTTCTTTGTTTGTTAGCAGGTTCCCAATAAATCTTCCTTTCCAGTTTAGAAGCAACAATCTGTTGTTCCAAGAGTCGCAGACGATAATTCTGTTTTCCGAATCGGACGAAACGCCGTGTGGATGGTCCAGCTGATCGATATCCGATCCCTGAGTGCTACCGAACGTACCGATCAGATTTCCATTCCAGTGAAATACTCGTATCCGGTGCGTTTTCCAATCTGATACGATCAAGTGATCACACTCGAGACAGCAGGACAGGTAAGCAGGATTTTTACTGAGACACGGAAACTTCCTAACTATATTACCAATTTCATCGAAACCTAGGACCTCGCCTGTCATCCACTCGGCGACTAAGATTTCTCCGTTCGTCGACTGGCAGATGCCCACCGGTTGTTTGAATTTGTAACTTGTGAAGAGTTGCAGGGAAGTAAATTGTTTAGAAGATAATTTCAACGTATTTTCGTCGTTTACTAAGTAGTTGTCGTTGTTTCTTAGAACCGTTATTCGTATCGGTGAGTGGAAAAAACCGTCTGCCGATCGAGTCAGCCTGTTGCCTTCAAAATCGAAAACTTTTAAGTTTTTATTGCTCTCATCGACTACGATAACGGAGCTGTTGCTATGATCGATGGCCAAGTCGCACATGACGCACGGTCTCACGTCTAACTCAGACTTCGTGTTGAATGAGAGAACCGATGTGTCGTTTTTGGGTTTGTCATCGCAGTAGACACCGCCGACGAGGTAGGCGATGACATCTAAAGTCACACCAACCGGTTCGGTTAGGCTGTAGGTAGTCCAAGAAGAAATTTTCATCTTGGGACATTTTTGAAATTTTTTTAATTGACTCCTGGCTAAGCCGCTCGTGTTAAGTATGCTTGCTGTGTGGTCGAATTTTATGAGTTGTTCGCAAAATTGATTTGATATTTTAGCGGTTTCTAATTTACTTTTCAAATCTTCAACGTCAAAAGAGTTAATGTATTCAAGTCTATCACCTGTTAGACCGTCTACAGAGTTGTGCAACGAAACAGAGTAATTGTACAGCTTTTCAGTTATTTTTTCAATAACTTTCAAAACTCTATCCCCGAAAGTTTTGTGAAATGTCTTCCTAAAGCGGGTTACATCTTTTTGCTGACTGGCTAAATTCTTAATTCTCATCTGCAGCGTCGAGATAAACTTCTCAACGAGAGGTAAAAATAACTGAATCGTTTCAGAATCTTTGATAGCTTGTTGCGTAATCGGAATTACGTCATGATTCGAGTGTGACGTAATTATGCACATCTCGCAGAGTAGCGCTTTACATTTTGTCTCTAGACAGTATTTAATTAATTTTTCTTTGTGCTTGGGGCAGTAATGTGACGATATATTCTCTTTGATGACGTCATCAAAATCTCCCGTTAGTAATTCTTCCGAACTGTATTGGTGGTGGTCTTTTGAAAGTTTTACCTGAATGGGTGATAATTAAAATTTAATTTACGAGGTCGTCCTTAGATGAATTGTTGTGTTGAATCTTATACATTGTCAGTCGTGTTGAACTTATTATAACAATAATAAAACATTGTCGTATCGTAGTTATTTCCATTTTAATAATATAATTATTTATCGTCGCAACTTAAACCTAAAAAATCACAATCACGACAAATTCCTTAGAATATAAAACTTAAATGTAATAAATTAAAAATTAAGACAACCGCATACAAACCTGCTGATGTATTCTACTACAAGATCTACACAGCCAATCAGAGCACTCGATGCATTTTTTAACCTTCGTCTTATCCAATGACCTTTTGCCACAGCCACCGCATGTCACCTCATCACTAATCAGGATATCATTCCTAAAATTTAAAAAACTTTGCATGGAACCGACGAGAACGTTGTCTTTCATTTCCTGGACACCACTTTCTGGAACGGTGCAGTGGGTTCGACATAGTGGGCAATAGAACGTCTGACCAGGCAGGATACCGTTGCTAGACAGACAGGTCTCGAGGCAGTCGCAACAGAAACTATGCAAACATGGGAGTAATTTGGGTCTAACTAATTCTTGGGTGCAATTCGGACAGTGTAGAAACTCATCCGTCAAGATGACGGTTGATGTGTAAGTGGAGCTGGAAGCCTCTAGTGAATTGTTCATTTGTCTAGCGTCCAATTTGTCCGATTTAATTAATTTCCTCCTGCTGTGTTTAGAGTTTTTTGAACATGTTTTGAAAACAAAATAAGATTTGTAATGGCTTAATCGTATGTTATATGTACACAATCAGCATATGTTTTTGTATTATGCCAACATGCATTTAGTAGACAACAACAACGACAACACTAACAACAATAATTATAATAAAATAGTCGCTGTTTCTATAACTACAGAATAACCATCCAAGATACAAATTAACAATATAAAGCGGTGACACATCAAATTGATTTTATAGTTTTACAGCATACATAAGGAAGCAGATGATGAATGTGTACACTACATTCATTTAAATGCATGCATATGTATGTTTGTATGTATGTATGTATGTATTTATGTATGTATTATGTATGTATGCATGTATGTATATGTAGATAAACTTACGCTATTGTTTATATTTACACACCTGTATTGTGTGATTTTATAGCGCCTAATTTATTTATTACTCTGACTGATAGCATTAGACGCCTCTATATAATTTCATGAAGAGATAGATGGAGCCAAATACTCTTGCGATTACTGATACTGCTACTACTAACTCCTGCTGCTACCACAACTGCTTCTACCACTACTACTAATACTTTTACTACAGCTACAGTTACATCTGATACCATTACTACTGCTATTACTGTCGCTACTACAACTACTACTGCTGCTACTAATACAACTACTACAGATAATATAATTTATAACGGTATTAACAATGATGACAAATTTCAATTCAACTGTTATTTTTGCTGTTCATTTGGTGTTTTGGTTTCAAACCAGTCCTACTTATGTCATATAATAAAAATCTGATTATTTAATAGTCGTATGAATGTGTTGTGTGTGTGTGTGTGTGTGTGTGTGTGTGTGTGTGTGTGTGTGCGTGTGTGTGTCACCCCGGAATAATAAATGGTTATTCATTCATCTTTAGCGTCTCCTATATTTGTTTCTAAGCAAACATTGTAAATCCATTATGCGGGAAAATGAACGTGCATTTAAATTCAAGATGACGCAAACACACGCACAAACACATACACACACGCACACGCACAAACACATACACACACACGTATACACACACGCGCACGAACACACACACACACATATATATATACACACACACGAACGAACGCACACATATAATATACCTCAGAAGCATTCGAAACGTGTTTTCTTGAAGTCTGCTACTGAAGGTTTTAAATTGATTAAAAAACTGTGATGTGAAACTAACTACTACTACTACTACATAATAATAATAATAAATAAATAATAATAATAATAATAGCAATAAATATATAATAAGAATAATAAAATGACGCTGAAGTCTTCTAGTGTTTTTGTATGTTCGTTTTTTCTTCAGCTAATGTGAGTTTTTGCTTGATGGATGGACGGACGGGCAGATGAATGAATGAATGAATGAATGAACGAACGAATGAATTAATACAAGAATGAATAAATGGATTGATTGCTTGATGGATAGATGGATAGATTGATTTGTTAGAAAATAAATTAATAGCCGAATGCATGGATGAACGAAGGTATAATTTAATGAATGAGTTTTTGCTTGATGGATGGACGGACGGGCAGATGAACATTATTAAGAATGGTTTAATTTAATTTAATTCTATGATTAATAATTTAATAAATTATATAAGAAATGTATTTACATCATGAAATTTATGTTCTCTATCTATAAACAATTTCTGTTGATATTTTTTATGTGATTATAATTATCTATGAAACATTATTTTTTAGTTAACTACCTTTTGTTTTATTATCTGTTATTAACATACTAACAACTAACAATATTTGATATTAACCACAAAACTCTGAACATATTTGTCTAGGTGGCTGTGCTAGATGAGCCCATTAGGGGCTCCATCATATTCATCATTCATCCTGTCTCTTATTTATTATCTGTAATTTTGAGAAGCAAATAAAATTTCGTTTCGTTTCGTTTCGAATACATGAATATTTGCATGCATGAATGAATGAATGAACGAACAAACGAACGAACTAATGAATGAATGAATTAATTAATTAATTAATTAATTAATGACAAAAATTATCATTTGCTACAAATCCCTAAGGCACCGTGTCCCTGAGATGTGCCTACTGTTCAAAAGAACTATATATTGATGATGGAGACTGGAGTATTTTGAATGGTAATATACATGCACACGCACACACACACACACGTACACATACACATACAAACAAACAAACAGATGAGGAGTGTTACGGCGGCCATACAAAGGTGATTGATTGCAATTATAAGAAATGTAGTTTCTACCTAATAGCCGACAATAAGAGTATGTTTGTTTTTGTTATTATTATTTATTTATTATTTTCAATTTATTGTGAGGCACTTAGATGTTTGGGGCTTCAGGCTAGGGTTCGGGGCTTGTAATTCTTTCCCCGTAAGCGCAAGTCATATACTCGCGTTGGTTACCACCCCTGACCTTTGTACAGACCGCCCGTCGCTACTGCCGGTTGAATGGCCTAGTGAGGCCCTCGGATTGAGAAGACGATCGAACTTGATCATTCAGAGAGAGTGTAAAAGTCGTAAGAAGGTTTCCCTAGGTGAGCTTGCCTAAGAGTCATTAACGGTTCATTGGGGAGTTTGATTATAAGTTGCTTTGTAGTTTATACGTAACTTCAATCCGTCCACTGTTGGAGTTTGCAGTATCAGTTTGGTTTCCAGATCTAAAGGCTGATAGCGAGGTTATCGAAAGAGTCCAGCACAGAGCAACAAAGTTGGTTCCATCTATAAGAAGCCTAGCTTTCGAAGATCGTCTTAAAAAATTAGGGTTAACAACCTTGGTGGAAAGAAGAAGAAGAAGAGATTGGATTCAGTTGTTTATAATCATGCACAATTTGGACTAAGTTGATTTAAATAATCGTTTTAACATGTCAAACCCAAAACGCGAGGCCACAGTTTGAAATATTTCAAAGAATTTAAATAATTAATTCAGAGTGAATTAATTATTCAATAGGGTCGCAAATACTTGGAACTCATAACCAGATGAACTTGTTGTAGAGGCACAAGCAATGAACAAATTTAAAGCCAGCATTGATTGTTGGATGAACAACAATCAATCAACGAATCAGCTGTGATAGCATGCCAGAGAGCATGCTCTCTGGATAACCTCCAGAAAAGCATTATTACTACTACTACTACAACTACTACTACTACTACTACTACTACTACTACTACTACTACTACTATTACTAATACCTACTACTACTACTACCTACTACTACTTTTATTTCAAACAATTATTTGACAACGTATACAAAATTTAAAAACACACACACACACAAACAAACGCGCACAGACACACACCCACTAACACACCGATACACACAAACACTCTCACCACAGATCAAAAAGCGGAAATATGGAGACTATGCTCCGATTCTAACCTCAAGCCAGACATTCACGGTAAAAATGGCGAGAAAAAAATAACACTGTATACATTTACTAAGGAGGATTTAGGAAATTGTGGAAGTATTAAGGATCTTTTTGGCGAACCGAAAGTGACGCCACATTTTTCAAACGAGAGTAGGCTCTTCTACGATGAACTGGCATCTAAGTGGACCAAAGGCGAATGCGATGACGTAATCAATAATAATAATAATAATAATAATAATAATAATAATAATAATAATAATAATAATAGTAATAACAACAATAATAATAAAAAGAAGAATAACAATAATAACAAAAACATAAATACCAATAATAATAATAATAATAATAATAATAATAATGATGATGATGATGATGATGATGATGATGATGATGATGATCACGAAAAGAATAAAGGCCAAAAGCGTGTTAGCGGAAAGACGTCCATTGACAACAACAACAACAACAACAACAACAATAAAAACAACAACAACAATAATAATAATAAAGATGATGACGATGACGATTCTAAAAGTAATAGTGATGATAATAGTAAAGATGACGACAAAGTTAAAGATGATGGTGATGATGATGGTGGTGGTGATGATGGTGATGATGATGGTGGTGGTGATGATGGTGATGATGATGGTGGTGGTGATGATGGTGATAATGATGGTGATAATAATAATAATAATAATAATAATAATGGTAATGATGATGATGATGATAAAGCATCTAATGATAATGAAGTAACAATTATAAAGATGATAGTAACAGTAGCAATGATGATGATGACGACAACGACGATGAAGATAATGATGATGACGATTGTTAAAACCTTATAGAAGACATCCTTCATAATAATAGTTACAATAATAATAAAAATAATAATATTATTAATAATAATAAATGGTTGTGGTAGATTTTTAAAACATTCCAAACAAAAAAACATTCCATACGCATTAACTGAGGGAGGGAAACAGTGTCAAACATTCTGCCAATCGCTTTTTCTTACGTATGGCAATGGATCTAAATGAATGTGTTACTAACTATTTAAATTTCTTGACAGCTATATCTGAATGTCTTAACAGTTATATCTGAATATCTTAACCACTATCTCAATGTCTTAAAAATAACGAGATTTGTCATTATTTGCACAACACAAGCTTATTGTTATTAAAGCATCTACGTTTTCATTTAATAGATCTATTTACGAATTTGGTTTTTTTTAACATAAACTTGCCTGCTCAGTATTTTAAATGTAAAACATACATTTTTTAACTTGCGTGTACGAGTGTGTGTTGTACGCGCAAAGTGTTGTACACCTTGCGATCTTCTTACTTGGCAGTTAGCCTCCTTTTTTAGTTTTCCCCTTCTTCTCACATCCAAAGGAAAAGTCTTCTGTACATTCGCCTTAATGAAACGTGCAGCTACGTGCGTCTGATTGTTAAAAATGTATCCATAACTAAAGTAACTAAAGCTCGTTGTATGTAGAAGATGTCATAGTTCATAACAAGAATAACAGTTATTATTATTGTTAGTGTTATTGTTAGTGTTATTATCATCATCAGCAGCAGCAGCTGCTGAAGTAACAACAGTAGCTTCACTAGTTCAAGTCTCAAAACAAAAACCCAACAAATTTTTTCTACCAACTGACGTCATAAAAAGGATGATGTCATACATGACGTCATCCTGCATAGAAAAAGTAGCATTCGATAAATTCAAATTATTTTAGGCGGAATTTCGCTTTTAAAAAGATCATTAATTCGTCTGTTTGGCGTCTGCTCTATCGTTTTAATTATTGGCGGCAAACTAAGCGCTCATATACCTAGTCATACACACACACACACACACACACGCACGCACACACACACACACACGCACGCACACGCATACAGAAACGCAAACGCAGAAGAACACACAGCGAAACAAACGAAGAAAATTTTTGTTTCTTCTATTTCTTTTCTTTACTCCTGAGATTTTAGCATTATCGAATAAGGAAAGGATTAGAATGCTCGGGTTATCGTTTAACTTATTGATTTTAAACTCTAAACCTGCAAATTTCTAGATAAAAATTTAAAAAAAGAGATTTTCCAGGAAATATTGAAACGATAAGACAAGAAGAAACTTAATTATAATATTTGAAGAGAAAAAACTTATAACTGTTTAGTCGCGATGTCAGAGCACTGAGTCAACCGACTAAAATACTAAATAGAATTTATTAAATATTAAAAAAAATTTTAAATACTAAATTAAAATATTAAATTATAAATTAATATCTTAAATATTTGGTCGTTTTGACAAAAATCTTTTCGTGACATTGTTTCAAAACTTTGTTGGAAATGACTTCGAAGGTTGTAGTTTTCCTGATGGTGTGTCTATTCACTCATTGTGAGTTTTCAATTTTTTCAGACCTGAAAAATAACACAAATTAAACTAACAAATAAATTAAATTGTAAATAAACAACTTTTCACTGGTATTAAATACTGCTTAAAATATAATTTTGATAATAAAAAAAAATCCAAAAAGGTGTTTTAGCCGCCAAAAAATCGGCGAAAAAGCCAGCCAAAGATGGAAAAAAGTATGAAGATGATAGAGGAAATGAGGTGAAATGTGCAGCTTGTTATAAAAAGTTAATAGTCAACGATCTCACAAATGTTGACTTCAACAAGGAGAAGTGTTTTGGAGAAACTGCAGACACAACCATTTGCAACCAAAGCTGTTCTTTTGTTTTGTTTCTTTATAAGAAAAGTTTGTAAATTTTTTGAGGTTATTTTTTGAAAATTTGATTCTTTCTTCCTTTCTCATCATCTCTTCTTTTTTTTCTTTATTACTTATTTTTCTCTCTCTCTCTCTCTATCTATCTATCTATCTATCTATCTATCTATCTATCTATCTATCTATCTATCTATCTATCTATCTATCTATCTATCTATCTATCTATCTATCTATCTATCTATCATCTATCTATCTCTCTCTCTCTCTATCATCTCTCTCTCTCTCTCATTTCGTCTCTTCTTCTTTTCACCGCTTTGAAAACTCAGACACAATTGAAATCATTTACACTCTTATGATTTGCCAAAAAATGTTTAACAAAGCCGCGACAATCATCGTCCTTACATACCGCCACTACATCACATCCTATCAACTCGGCTGACCGGTTAGTGTAGCGGTTAGAGGCGCCCGGTCCCGCGAAGAAGCAACTTGCTTCGAACGCAAAGACATCCCGGCCTATCGCATGCAAAAACTGTAAAAGATGCGCCTACCCCAAATTAAATTAATTAATTTAATTAAAAACTAATAACAAATGAGTGGAATAAGTCAATCCTTACGAACGCAGATAATACTGCCGAGATTTACAAAACATGTGGTCTAGCGGAAACGCTATACAAGGCTTACGATAACGCAGACACAATGTCCTTCTACAAATACGACGAAAAAGAAATGTCCAACTGCATCTCACTCAAGGATTTCATCAGCAACGAAGACACCATTAAAAGTTTCTCCGAGCAGAGGAAGGCATTTGCCAGAAAGGTAGCCAAGAATTGGAGCAGAGCAAGATGTGGTTCCGGGGCAGAGGGTAATGATAACAATAGGGACAATGAAAATGATAGTAGTAGCCATCATAATGATGATGATGATGATAATAATGATGATGGAGATGATGATGATGGTAAGAAGAATAACAATGACGATGAAAGAAATGATGGAGAAGATAACGATAGAGATGGTGAAGATAGAAATGATTATCACGATCAAGATAGCACCAACAAAGATGATGATGATGATGATGGTCAGAATCATCATGGTTATGATGATGATGATGGTGGTGAAGAGCATGATGACGGCGACGATGATGATTGAAAGAAAGTGGAGAAATGGAAAAAATAACTTGATTAAAACTGATTCATAATGACAAGAATAATAATAATAAATAAATCAATAATGTTAATAATAATAATAATAATAACGATTATTATTGTTATTAGTATTTGGAGAAGGTTGCATTGTGTTTTCTAACAAAATAAATGATATTTTATATATATCATATAACTTCAATTTTTTAAAAATCATTTGACAGCGAAAAAAATAATTTCATTTCAGTTATATCACATGGAATTATATGAATAAACAAGTTAAAATAATTAGAATAAACACACAAACACACACACGCACGCACACAAGCACGCACGCACACACACACAAGCACGCACGCACACACACTAACACACAAACACACACACACACACACATATATATATATATATATATATATATACATATATATATATATATATATATAACTAATCATTTATATACGTGAAATGTTTCATAGACTTTAAAACCTAAGAGCTAATGTCCTACGAGCGTAATCATCATCATTATCCTCATCATCATCACCATCATCATCACAATCACCATCATCACCATCATCATCACAATCATCATCATCACCATCATCATCACAATCACCATCATCACCATCATCATCACAATCACCATCATCACCATCATCATCACAATCACCATCATCATCACAATCACCATCATCACCATCATCATCACAATCACCATCATCATCACAATCACCATCATCACCATCATCATCACAATCACCATCATCACCAAATGAGCAAATGAGTATCATCATCATTATCACAACGACTGTAGCGATGACGATGATGATGACGACGATGATGACGAATTAAAGAAAACATTTTTTTGCTGAAAAACCAATGACGGACAAGGAGTTATGCACGGTAGTACCTTTGATGATGATGATGATGATGATATGAATGATGATGATGATGATGGAAGTACTGTCGAAAATGTCAACGATCGAATGCACTTTAAACTGTATAAATGTATGATAGCCGGATCGCTTTTGATGAACTTCAACAAAGGACTAAATGGAAAAACAGTATCGTCATCATCATCGTCATCATCATCATCATCATTATCGTGATCATTATTATTGTTATTATTATTATTGTTGTTGTTGTTATCATTATCATCATCACCATCGTCGTCGTCGTCGTCGCTATTTTGTTTCTTCTCTATGTAAAAAATTTTCCTCGTACTCCTATCAGTTTTATTATAATTATATTTTTTCTTATAATAATAATTATTATTATTGTTATTTCGTTTATCATCACCATCGTCGTCGTCGTCATAATCACTTCTTCTTCCTCTTCCGTTTCCGGTCATCATCCGCCATATTAGTTTCTCAATCTTCAAGAACTCCCTCTCGTACTTTAACTCCCCGAACGGGACACTTTCCTGTAAGAATTCCAAAATCCCCAAGAAATAATCCAAGTTACAGCCGCTGGCCCCTTCGTTCTGGAAGATGCACCTTGCCATTTCATCGCACGTTCCAGGGCCGAGGTAGAGGTGGTTGCTAGGTAGGGCTATGAAGACTAAAGCTTCTAAGGGTTTGCTGGATTGAGATTTTTTTTCATTCAGTAAAGTTCTTGAACTTGCTGTTGTGGTTTTTGTTGTTGTTGTGGTTTTTGTTGCTCTTGTTGTTGTGGTTTTTGTGGTTTGTGTTGTTCTGTTGGTAACGTTCGAGATAGCGTTGTATTTGTTGTTGATGTTAATAGTGTTGCTGTTGAGATAGTTTGTGTTGTTTTGATTATTTGCATTGTTGTTGTTGTTGTCACAGTGATCGCCATACCCATCTTTCCTATCATCATGATCTTTCAAATCTTCATCTTCGTCATCATCTTCTTCATCATCTTCTTCTTCATCATCTTCTTCTTCATCATCAGCATCGTAACTGTGAAACTCAACAAACTCAATGTCGTAACCGCCCAGAATACATTCTCTCAAACCCAAATGTTCCAAGCACAGTCGAACCTCGTTCAAACCCACTACATGAAAAGAACGGCCCCACACTCTACTCTGTGTGTGTGTTTGTGTGTGTTTGTGTGTGTGTGTATGTGCGTGTGTTTGTGTATTTGTGTGTGTGTTTGTGTATGTGTGTATGTGCGTGTGTTTGTGTATGTGCGTGTTTGTGTATGTGTGTGTGTATGTGCGCGTGTGTGTGGTGAAGAAATGTTAAAAAATTAGGCGCTACATCAATTTATTTAATTGATTTAATACAGACCTAAGTGTAACAGTGTAAAGAAAAGTTAGAAGTATATATTTATATATATATATAATAATGGAAATTTTGGGTTTAGAGTCTAAACTATAGTCTAAACTTTAAACTAGAATAAATACAATTATACAAATAGAATAATTAAATTAATAAATAATTGTGTATATAATAATGGAATAAATAGAAAGTGAATGCAATACTGACATCTTGGTCTTCTAATAAGGTTGCAACTCTTCCAGGCTGTTTTTATTAAATAAATAAATAATATTTTATTTTAATATTTTAATACGTTATTGATTTATTGTTATAACAATAACAATGATGGAATTTATATAGCGCCAAGCACACGGTGATGACGCATTATACATATTATGCGTATAAAAGGCCGAACGAACGAACGAAGAGACAATCAACTATCACAAAATCACACATAACCAACCAATCCTGGTCTTCCTCTATGTGTAACATTGCCCTGGTATAACTTCCTTGAAAAGCCATCGATGTACCCAATTCGATTTTCACAATATTTAAAGCCGGGGTTCCAAATT